GACTAACTAGAAGGCGCGTATCCTTATTAATACGGCTGGTCCCGGCTTAGCAGACTTAGTAAAGCCGAATCTTTAATTCTAGGCGCTAGCCCTATAACATTACCCCCCTACTGCCCTATAGAGAGCCCGGTCCTCTACGCCTATAGAAACGCAGCTAAATATACGAAAAATGGCCAAAATCTAGCACAACCGCTCCCAGCTAAACGCCTAGCTAAATAGGTAAGAATTAACAACACTAGAAAAGTATCTACACTAAACCCCCGAATAAACGTTGTACAACTACCTACCCTCTACCTAAATCGGTAATAGTACGTTACTACCCTTATAGAACTATACCCCGGCCGAAGTACTAAGACTAAATTAGAGGACATTTCTGGACCTTACCTATCCAAGGACCGTTATTATATTATATCAACAATCTATAATAGAAACAATTAAAATTAAAGCTATTACTTAATACTTTGTAACGCTCTACTTCTCCTACTAGTAGAAGCCTTATCCTTACTACTATAAAGATAGTTTAATAGTCCTTATACTTACGAAATATTATATCTACTACCCTCTAATGGTTGTATATTATAGTAAATACTAAAATTAAACTAGCTATATATAGAGAGGTATAATTTAAGAACTTACTACACTACTAATACCTACGTTACAACCTCGCCTCGCCTAACTACTAGAGACTCCTCCTTTTAAATCTCTAATTAACGCTCCCTCTACTATAGTCTTATTAGGGTTATCTCTAACGAAACTTTACTCAATCTAAGAGCTCCTCCTTTTAATTATCGCTGTTGTAACTATTTAAACCCCTACCGGGTTATAGCCGAATTATATTCATCTTCGTCTTTTTATACTACTTAAACTAATACAACCTGCTATTACAATTAATATACTTACCTTCCTTCTTCTACTTATTCTTCTACTTCTAAAAAATATTATTACTCCCCTTTATCCTTATTGGCGCAATATAATTAATAGAAGTATCTATAGGATTACTAGCGTTATTGTAATCAACCGGTTGCTTTAATGGAATCGAGGCAAAAAAAGTATTACTATTAAGATAGTAAAGGTATTTAAACAATAATAAACACTACTTAAGTATATTGATTCTTTTTAAAAGCCGTTACTTCCAATTATTATTTAAGGAAACTGTTAGCTGACTAATTTTGGTTGCTTCTAACTAGGAGTCTACCCGGGTATAGTAAAGTATTTTCTTAAAGTAGGTAAGGAAGGCCGCTATAGATTTTTTGGAGTTGGGCTTTTAGCGTAGCTAATAAAACTCTTAGCCGGCGCGCTTTGTAACGTTAGGATCGCCGTAAGTAAATTTAAATTTTGAGAGTAACTTAAATAGCGACTGGGGGCCATAGGTAGTGAAAGCGACGAGTAGCTTCTTAATAGCGGGCGATAGGCAGGCGAGCAAATAGTAGAACTACACTTCTAAATCGCTAATAGCGAGGCTATCCACGTAAAATTTAGCCTACGCGCTCAAAACCTATATTTCAAAATTTTCCTGACTCTCTAAGAACTTTTTAAGGGTAAAAAGGACTAGCTTCCGGGTAGCCGGCGAAGTTTTAAGAGCGGCGAATTTACTTAGTACAATCTTAAAGGCGGTACTAAACTATTATATCCGTTTTTAAGGGTTTTAAAACTACAAGATTTGTATTGGTACTATTATCAAGAGGGACGGGGGTCCGGGTAGCGAGAATAGGTAGATATCGTAAATAAAGGGAGTCGCTAATGTACGAGAGCGACGGGGAGAGACTCTTTAGGCGTACCTACAAGAGAATAGTAACGGGGATTAAAAAGAGGGTTAAATATAATATAACGGGTCTACCAGAGTATTATATAATAAATAATTATATAATAATTAAAATACTCTATTTAATAAAGAGAGTAAAAGAAGACTATACTAAATAAGTATAGTCTGGAGAAGGTTTTATATAGGGCGCTAAGACCGTACGGGCTAGGCAAATATGTAGATCCGACCAACCAGAAGGCGCGCATCCTTATCGATACAGCTGGTCCCGGCTTAGCAGACTTAGCAAAGCCGAGTCTTTAATCCTAGGCGCTAGCCCTATAATAGTACCCCCTTTGCTATTATATACGCTTATTTCTCTTTTAAATAAAGGGGTAAGTTAAATATCTTCTCTTTAATATATCCTAAATATATATTAATTTAATATAGGATAATAACCTTGCCCCTATTATATTAAACGATTTACTACCCGTTGTACCCTCTTCGCTATTATATATTCTTACCTTTCTTCTAAATATTATAGGGCTGGCGCCCGGGTTATAGACTCTAGTCTTTGGGACTAAAACTATCGTTAACTATAGTAGTACAGAGCGCGCAGCCCTAATAAAAACCTCTCAGCGCCGGTAGATCCGCATTTTAAATATATTTTTCCTCCTTTATAGAACCTTAATTAAGTTATACAGCTAGTACCCGTATTAACTATATTATCCCTATTATATTAAGTTCTATCAACCTAATAGAACTAATAGATTAAAATATATTGCCGTTATAGTAGCAAGGGTAGTAATATGCTATATCGAACGTAGAAGAAGAAGTGTAACGGGCCGAAGCTTAATGAATAGAGAGAGAGAGAGATAATTTTATTAAAAGTATATTTACGAACGTAGTATTCGCCGACGCTATTAGAACCGCTATTAATATATTACTTATAACTTAGGGAGTATAGGGCAACCCCTAAGCGCCTACTTAAATAACTACCTATATAATTATTACTACCCCTAATATTATAATTAGTACTATTTAAGAAACTACCCCTATTATTGCTCTTAATACTAAATATAAGAATATTCGGTAATTAAAATAGGATAGATTTACTTTAACCTTCTCCCTATTCTTTATATAGCTATACTTTATATATAAAGAAAAGAAAGTAATTAAAGTAATTTCTAATAATAGATTAGGATAATTAATACTATTTAATATACTCCCTAGCGATAAAATAATTAAAGTAGAGGCTTTTTAGCGCTACGGTTATATTGACGATTCCTACCAGCCTATTAATTAATTTAATTATTTAAAATGAATTTTTAGTAATAAAAATAAGAAATAGTTCGTATTAATTCGCCTACGAACTATTTACTAATATAAGAATTAGAATTTCGCCGATTTCTTCCCAATTTTTAAAGAGAACCTAATGAAGGTAGGAAGTTTAATATAAAGAGATAAATTCTAATTCGCCTAATTAAATACTTTTATATTTAATATTCTATATAATTAATTAATTTTAATCTATATATTTAAAATTTATAATTAATATATAGAATATTTGAAAAATATTACTTAACGGTTCGAATCGAACTAAACCTTCTATAAATTTAGTAGGAATAATAAGGGGGCTACTAACTATTATTAAAAGTCTTTTCCTTAATAAGAATAAATTACAAATCTACCCTTAAAAAGTATTAACGGTAATATACTTATAACAATAAATACTACTAAAACTAAAAGCGAAAATTATAGTAAGGATATTAAATATATTAAATAGGTCTCTTAAAAGGAACGCGATAAATAGCGCTTAACCGGACTTTATTTATATTACGGGGCTAATAGGTATATAATTAACGGCTATATATATAAACCGGCTTAATATTCTAATAGTATTAATATTAAAGCTACTAAATCTTAGATTAAATTATTATTAGAAAATACTAAAGATTCTTCCTTAGAGGGGTCGGGAAAAGAATAGCTCTTATATAAAGCTGGGTATAAGAATAAATAAGAGTATTAAGTAAGGAGGTGGGAGCTTCGAACTTCCTAAGTTTTATAGAAATAAATATTATTAAAATCCCTATTACTATTAATAATAAAGATTAATTTCATACCCTTATTAATAAAGGTTATTAATATTATACTATTATTAGTAAAAGAATTGTTAAAAAGTTGAAAATTCTAATAATCCTAATTCCTTAGAAATATATTAAAAACACCTCCACTAAAATAGAGGGTATAAAAATTAAGGGTATTATCTATTTTAAAGTAAATATTTATAATTATAAATTAATTATTTACATTTATATAATCCCTAAATTAGAATTCTCTATAATATTAGGAAAATTATAGTTAATTATAATAAAAGCCTACTCAATTCCGTATAAATATAAATTCTAATATAGGGTAATTGGATATTAAATCCTATATTCAAAATATATATTTAAAGGGTTTTTCCCTTATATTATAGAAATTAGAGAAACTATTTACTATTTAACTATTACCTTTATAGCTATATTAAACCGGATTAAGAAAGAAAGTAGTAAAGAAGCTACGAAAGTAATAATATCTACTATTAGCCTATAAAACGTAAAGAAGGCTTTTAAACCTAAAGTCGATTTAACCGATAAAGAATTAAAAAAGAGGATCCCTACTAATATATACGATTTATTCTACGTATAGAAATAGTCGGAGGCCGATAAAGTAAACTAATATTACCCTAATATTAACTATAAGGTAAAGGTTAAAAAGGACGAAAATAGTAAAGAAATACTATTCTCTTATAGATTATTTTATAGTATATTAAGAAATAAATTCTTAATATTAAAGAAGATACTTAGAGACCTCTTCGATAAGGGGTTTATCCGTACTAGTAATTCCTTAACTATAATACCGGTCCTCTTCGTTTGGAAGTTAAATAGAAGTTTATAATTCTATTATAATTATTGGGCTCTAAATACTATTATAAAAATTAATTATTACCCGCTACCTTTAATTAAAGAAACTTTCTATATTATAATTAAAGTAAAGTAATTTACTAAGATAAATATAGTATAGTCGTTCTATAAAATTTATATAGTAGAGGGAAAAGAAGGGAAAATAGCCTTCTATATATAATATAGCCTTTTTAAGTAATTTATAATACTATTTGGGTTATTAGGAGCTCTAACGACCTTCTAATAGTATATTAATAATATTCTCGGTAATTATTTTAATAATTCTACTTTAACCTATATAAATAATATATTAGTTTTTTTATTTTAGATCGAAGAAAGACTATTTAGAGAAAGTCTATAAAATAATAGAGCGGTTAGTAATAGTTAAACTCTATTTAAATCCTAAGAAGTACGAATTTACTATTAAAGTTATAAAATATTTCAGTTTTATAATTATTATAGGTATAAATATTTAAATAAACTTTAAAAAGATTAAAGCAATTATAAATTAAGAAGCCCCTATATTATAGAAAGGGGTGAGGAGCTTTCCAAATTTTGTAAATTATTACTATATATTTATTAAAAATTTCTTTTCGGTAGTAGGACTATTAATAATATTTATAAGGAAGGGGGTCCCCTTCGAATAAATTACTAAATATAATACTATATTCTAATAATAAAAGAAACTATTTACTAAAGCCCCTATCCTTATATAATAGGATTCCAACCTACTTATATTCTTAAAGGCTAATTATAGTAATTATAAATTCGGCGGCGTCCTTATATAAGAAAGAAATAGTAAAAAAACTATAATTATATACTATTCTTAAAAATTTACACTAGTTAAACGTAATTACCCTATCTATAATAAGAAAATACTAGCAATTATTCAATATTTAGAAGAATAATTAATAGAATTTAAAAATTATAAGAAATTCGTTATTATAATTAATTATTAGAACTTTAAATACTTTATAGAAAGATAGAAACTCTTTAAATATTAAGTATATTAAATTAAATTTCTTTCGAAGTTCAATTTCGAAATTTAGTATTGCCTAAGCAAATTCATTATAATATTTAATATTCTATTATAGTAGGATTAAAATAAACTTAACGAAAAGGACGCGGAAGTAAAGGAAATATAATTAATCCCTTAAGAAGCTCTTAAAAACTACGTTCGTATAGTAGCCTCCTCTATAATTATAAGGGAGAGCGTAAAGGTATTTAAGAATCCGGATTTATAGTAATTCTATAAGAAAGTAATTTAATAAGATATAATTTACTAGAGTATTTTCTAAGTAGTTATTAACGGCGACCGAAGCTTATTTACTATAATTTAAAGTTTAAAAATACAATTAAGAGAATATTTAATTAATAATTTAAGGAGGTTATATTATTAAAATCGTATTTAAATCTCCGGAACCCTAACTATTATTAAAGTAGCCGCCTTCTATATATTTCCCGAAGATTTAGAGAAGAATATTCTATATATATATTTTATTTAAGGAATATACGATTCGATTACTCTCGGTTACTTAAAGAGAGAAAGTATAATATATACTATTAATAGAAATTCCTTTAACTATTAATAAATATTTATATTCATTTATTTATAATTAATTATAATACTTATAGAAGGGTAAAATATTAAAGAAAATAGAAGAGAGGGCTATTTAAACTATTACTAATCCTAAATTAATTCTTTAAAAATATTTAAATAAATTTTATTACTAACTTCCTACCTTTAGAAAGCTATATAAATCTCTTAATTATTAAAAACCAGCTTAATAAAGTAATAATCTTAGAACCTATACCTACTATAAAAGTAAAAGTAGTTACTAAAGCTTTTCTATAATATTTTATATACTACTATAGCTAATTCCGGTTTATTATTAATAATAAAGGTCCTAATTAAATTAGTAATTTCTAGAAATACTTTTACAACTTCCTTAGAGTAGAATAATAATTAAATATAGTATTTTACCCCTAGACCGATAGCAGGCTAGAATATATAAATTAAAAAGTATAAATATTCTTAAGAATCTTCGTAAACTATATATAAAATAATTAGGATTATTAGTACCCCGCTATATAATTAGCAATTAATAATAGAGTAAACGCTACAATTAAAATATTTCTATTTTTTACTACTTATAACTATTACCCGTAATCCCCTATAATAATTACTACCCAACCTATAGAAGCCAAATTTATAAACCTATAGAAGAGAATTAAAAGTTTCGTTATATAGCTATAATAAATTATAAATCTTTATTAAACAATAATAACCATTTCAATATAAAATTAAAAGTATTTTACAAATTATAAAAAATAATTAACCAAAGTCTCTAAAAGGGGGAATAAAGTATAATTAAACCTTAAAAATTTTAGAACCAAATGCTTTAAAAAGAAATTAAATTAAGTATTTACTAAATATACAATCTTAAGAGTTCTTAATTTATATATTATAGAATTTACTAATTTTATTATTAGGGTCTTTAATAAATTCTATATAGATTTCCTATAATATATTTGGAATAATCCCCTATTAGAGTAGGTTATTACCGACCCCTAACTTCCAATTATTATAATCGATAGTAAGAAAGAATATTTTATAAAAGAGATTTTATACTATTAAATAAAGAAGGGGCGTAGAAAAGTATTAGTAAAGTAGGTAGGATAGGTAAAATAAATTTAGGAACCCTTATAAATAATAATTAATATTATAGTACTAAACTATTTTAAAATTAAATATAGTTTAATTATTACTAACAATAGTCTAACCGAATATTTTATTATTAAATATAAAAAATAATAGCGTTGGTTATAAAAAGGAAAAAAGGGAGCAATATTAATTTTAAACTTTTTTACTTCTTTTAAATTTTTCTCTTATAATTATCTCCTACTTCTATAATATTTATCCTTACTTTTAAAGCCGCTACCCTATTCTAAATTATATATAATTTATAAGGAGGGGGCGCCGCCGACGGAGGGGAGAGGGGGAAGGGGGAGGTTCCTTTAATATAGTATAAATATTTATAATTAAAAGAAAAAAAAAAGAGAGAGGTTAGTACTAAGGTTTTTAAGTAGGAAGGAAAATAGAAAGAAAGAGGTAAGAGTAATATATTAGTCGATAAATCCCCTTTTATATAATTTAATAATATTCCTTTAAATATTTATATACTAATTCAAATTCTTTTTTACTACCGCCTTAGCTATAACGCCGGACGCTACCTCCTAAACAGCGAACGTACGTAGAATTATAGGCAATACCCGGTCGTACTATTTACTATTATTATAATAATTAATATATATAGTACGACTAAGTATTATAAAATAAACCCGCTTTATATTTAAATATATAATATAGGGGATAATAGATTCCTTGTAATTAGATTGTAATAAGAAGGTTAGCAACGATATAACATTAGAAGAGAGACTTTAAGAGAGTAGAATACAAAAAAAAAAAAAAAAAATTAATATTATATTAGTACTTTTTATTAGAGTGCGAGTTTAAGGGAGTTGTAATAGTAGTAGTAGCCGTACGGCGGGGGCTAAGGGTGGCGGTTAGGGGAGGGGGGCGCGCTAGGGTCTAGGGAGGGGGCGTTGGGGGGGCTAGCGCCAGCGGGGAGGAGCCGGGGGGAGAAGGGCCGGGGGGCAAGGCGTCAAGGCGGGCGGAGGCGGGGGCTAGTAGGCTACTCTTAGTAGGATAAGGAATTTGGGGGCCGGAGCCCGGGGGTAAAGTTGAATTAATAGGGGGGATAATATATAATAGGGTATTTAAAAGTATTAGAAAGGTCGGAAGAAATAGATTAATATTAGGTAGAAAGAGGGTTAATACTATTTACCTTAAGGGATTAAACCGCCGCTAAAGAAGAAAAGAGAAGAGGAAGAAGTTTAAAAAGCGAAAGGAAAAGGAATTATATATATAAATTTAAAAAGTACGAACGTTAAAACTACTACTTACTACCTATTATTATTTACCGTTAATTGCCGTTTAGTACGATAATTACTATATTAAATAGAAGGTACGAATACGTCGGTCGGCGGTATAGGAAATAAACTTATAATTAAAATAAAAGTTGCGAACGTATTAGAAACTAACTATAAGGGTAGGTAGGAGAGGGGTAGGGAGGGGGAAGGAGGAAAGTAATATTATAGGGCTAACGCCCGGGTTATAAACTCTAATCTCTAGGATTAGAACTATCATTAATTATAGTAGTATAGAGTGCGCAGCCCTAATAAAAACCTCTTAACGCTGGTAAATTTGCATTTTAAGTAGACTTTTCCTCCTTTATAGAACTTTAATTAAATTATACGACTAGTACCCGTATTAACCGTACTGTCCACGTTATACTAAATAAAAGGGTAAATTAAATATCTTCTCTTTAATATATTCTAAATATATACTAACTTAGTATAGGATAATAATTTTATACTTACCGTACCGGACGCCGATAATAATTGGAGTAATATAGTAAATTAAAATTTAAAGCCTAATAGACCTCTTATAATTTCTCCTTTAGGTTCGCCTACTATATTTAACGGTTTAATAAATTATATTAAAGTATCGGTTACTTTGGTTCCTCCTCCCGACTAATTTCCAATTTTAAATATCGATAAACAATTAGTAAATTAAGTGCGGTATATCCTATTATATATATATAGAATTTATATTGAAGTTTTTAATAGGACTATAGTAATAAATTGTCGGATCTCGCCGAGGATATAATAGAGTCGTTAGACTAAGAATTTAGCAGAAAGAAACTAGAACCCCCTTCCCTCTAAAAAGTAAATTAGATTTCCTATTTTTAATTTATTTAAGTATATATACTAAACTTATATTAGTTAGTATAGGATACTACCTTTTCTATTATTAGCCGTACAAGACTAAAATAAACTGTAATATAAGTAATCAATTATTCTTTTTAATTTAGGAAGAGTAGAAAGTATAAATACAATTAAATTTATAAATATAAATATCGATATTAACGAATTTCTACTATCTAGTAGGTTTTTATTTAGTTTCTTCTTATATATACTATATGTATTAATACTTATTATTCTAATAAATAATATTCTCTTTTCGGATATATACGAAGTTATATTTATAAATAGAGTTCGTATATTCGATAAGTACTATAGCTTATTATAAATTATAATAGTTTAAGCTACCTTACTAAAACTAATATAGTATAATTTAATTACTTCCCATTATAGAAAATATTAAGTTTGCTAGTAATAGTATAAGAAGGTTTATTCCTTCTACCGCTAGTTAAATAATTAATTATTTACTTATTTAATACTATATACGTACTTATTATTTTAAGAAACTCTACTCGCACGTTGAAGAAACTCTATTCGCACGTGGATCCACTTTTTCTCCCACACATAACCCTAACCCCCTCAACCCCTAACATTTTAAATATATTCTTTTATAAATTTCGCCTAGAAATCTAAGCATTTTATTCTTACGTGCTATACCAAGCCTAAACTCTAGACTAGTTATTTATATAGTATTTTACAGCGCACTTTATAGCGCACTTTATAGGGCATTTAACGGTACGGTCGTACGTTGCACTCAATTGAGTCGCTCAATTGAACGATTAATTAGTCGCACTCAATCTATATTAATCTATATATTTATAATCTATTTAATTTCTATTGTATAATCGAATACTCTAACTACTAGCGAGTTTCCCTTACTAGGCTTAAATGCTAGCTAGAGTACTAATTAGCGTACCTCCTCCTCTTATTGTACTAGTAATATAGCCTCCTCTACCCTGTATAGAACTACCTCCTCTCCCTCCTCTACCCCTTCCTTATATAAAGCCTCGTAAGCGGCCTCGTCCCTTCTATAACGGAGTAAGGGGCTAAACGTCTACTATATCCTCTACCTCCAAATTTATACCCTTCTAGCTAGACGTATTTCGCTAAATTAATAGCGCTACTCGTATTAATACTGTAGGGTTACAACTTACTCTAGGCTAGCGGCCGTAGGTAGGCTAGAAGCAAGACCGTCCTTAACCTCGTAATACTACTACTTAGAATTAAACTAGCGCAGTCGATAAAGGAGACGTTTAAGTATTAACTAGCGCAATTAATCAGGGAGTATAAAGGTCGTTAACGAAGGGCGCCGTATTACGAGGACGGCCGCGAAAATTCTTAATATAGTTAAAGTTATAATATCTTAAATATTCGTCCTTGTCAAATATAACTCTTTATAGTTACTAATATAGGTAAAAGTCTAATTTATCAAACTTTAATAATAGCAACCGGGTAAGAAGGCTAGGGAGTAAAGAGTACGAATATAGTAAATTAAATTGCTTAGTAAACTTGCCCGTATATAGTTCTAATTCATTAGAGATTAGGTTCTATACCGTTAAAACAATACCTAAGGCAATATAGTATTACATTGTAATTTTATTAAACGCAATCCAATATACCTAATTAGGTATATTACTTAACTAAGCGATATTAAAATAGTCTCTTTTAATAAATCTTATCTCCTTCTTGACTTTCTCGTTGATTCTACGCTTTATTATAATAAGTAAATTAAAGCTCTATATAATAGCTTAAATAACTAGGCTATTACCTATAATTAAAAGGATAATTAATATACTGTGAAATATATAGGGGGCAATATAAGAATTAATAGCGCTTACCGCTAATAATAAAACTCTTTAAATTATAATTTACTAACTCAACTAGTAATATAGTACAATAGCCAAAATTTATCCTCTTATTAACGTAATAAGTAGCCCACTCCTACTTTAATATTATATACGTCTCTTTTAAGTACGTAATAATTACTATTTACTACGAGAAGAAGCTACAAAGCCTCTCCCAAACAATATTAAAAGCCTTAATAATATATATATAGTATATATACTTCTAGAGAATATAAAGTCTAGACCGTAAATACTCTATAATATTAGGGAGCGCTTCTAAAATATTTAAGCTATCTACCAATCGGTTAAGGCGGTTAACTATCTCTTTATCCTCCTTATTAAACTCCTCCAAATTTATCGTATTACTAAGCTAAATTAATTAAACTAATTAGACGGTCGGCTAGGCTACTAATTATATTAATACCGATATTTCTTGCTATATTTATACTATACTAATAACGGCTTAAATATTACTAACTTGAATAGCTACCTTTTTATCCTACTGTCACTTAATATATAATACTATATTCTTATTAACGTAAAAAATATAAAGCTAAAATTAAATTTAAGAATAAATTCGCTTTATAGCTACCCTTATTACTATATTATAATCTATAATTGTAATTAATAGGGTAACAACGCTAATAGCCTTACAATAAATATTAACTTAGTCTATTAACTAATCAAATCCCTCTTATCTCTCGTTATTAATAAGCCTAAATCCGCAATTAAAAGTATACCTAGTACCAATTATACTAATAATTTAGAAAAAGGCTAGGCCTTTATTATTCGTTTTATACGTATTATTATATATCTAAACCTAGGAATTTTCCTTCTACATCTACTCTCCCTATAAATTACTCTAAAAAAGGGCAATTAGTTTACTTTCTTAAGAGGTATCTACCCAATTAATCTCAAAGTAAACCCCCTTCTCTATAAGTAATTTCATCGTAAATTAGAAAGAGTTATAACCGCTATTAACTTCTCGCTTAAACGTATATCGAAGATTCTCGAACTATCTAATCGTAAAATAGAAATCTGGGAATTAATTGCGCAAATCTTCTACAATCTCACAATTCCTTACAATAGGGCGGTAGAAATACTAAGAGACGAAGGTCTTATACTCTACCTCGAAGACCCCGCAAACTTATATTATAATACTAGCAGCATAGCTATAAATAGCACATCCCTCCCTAACTTCGAAGGTCCACCTCCTAAAATTCGTCTTTAATACCTTAACGACTCCCCTCTAAGGACATCCCTATTTAGCAGTTAACGTAGATCTACTATATATAATAGAAGGACGGATTTTGCTAATAATACAAATAAAGTCGATAGTAGTATAACCGAAGTCCTTAACAAAGTTAATAAAGCGTAACTTAACGAATTAATAACCGCTATACTCTTTACCCTACTCTCTAACTACCTTAGTAAAGTTATTAAAATTATTATACTAGGTTGTAAAGAGGGAATAAAGCTTATTATAACTATTACTATTATTATTATTATTATTATTAATATCAATATCAATAGGCTCTAACTAGGCAAAGGTAGGCTCGACTAGGGTAGTACTTATTAAGAGTCTCAAACTAGAGTCAATAAGAATAAAGTCGATTACTTAATTAAGGTCACCCGCGCCACAGTCGCACGCGGGCTAGGTCGCTGCATCGGCTATCTATATTACAATTAGCTGGGGAAATACACTAAAAAGTAATAGATCAATCCGTACCATCGATAGGATAATAGCGCTTTATTAACTTAGTAATAATTAGCAATATATAATATAGTAAATTAATTAATTGAAGGTAACGAGGGTAATAATAGGTAGTTTAGTAGAGGAGGCAATGCAACGAAGCACATACCAGAATAATCGTTAAATTAGACTAGCTGGGTAGCTAGTACAGTACGAGGGTAGCTAGTACAACCCCCAAATGTATATAATAGGTTAAAATCTAGGAGCTTAGCGGGCGCGGTACGTGCCAGATAGGTGCGGGTCGGTCTGGGGGTCTGCAGGGTTAGGGTTGGGTATGAGGGGGGAAGGTGGATCCACGTACGAATAGAGTTTCTTCAACGTGCGAGTAGAGTTTCTCATTATTTTTATTTATATACAGTTCCTTAATATAGTATTATATTATAGTTAGTTCTTTTATTGTAATATATGAAAATCATATATTATCCCATTATATAAAATACATTGGAAGAACTTGGCCAATACGCAAATGTAATTTACTGAAATAGCGGCTATTTACGGCAGTTTGCGGGCTTATCGAGCTGTCTGTACAAAGAAGGTACCCGGATCGACTTGGCACGTGACCAGACCCATATTTTCTAGTGCCCCCATTAACCGTCCCCGCATTCTGTGAGAATATGAAAACTGGACGAGGTCCGTGCAACCCAGGTCTAGCAAAAGGTGTGACAAGGGTACTTCTTAACATCAATGGCACATGGCACACGGGATGGTACCGATCAAGATGAAGGAAGGTCCAACTTTAACCATCCGTGCGTCAGTGTGTGTTTATTACCCTGGCAATGACTTCCTTTTCAAGTTATTCATTCGGCGTCTGTGGTAAAGGAGGATGACCACCGCATCAAACAATGGCGAATCATGCGTCGTCACTTCCTGACAGCTCCCTCAGCCCAGGTATCTCTTGCCATGATATCATGAGTTCTTCAGAGCAGATGGCGGTATCAAGCTTCAGTCAATATGAACTCAAGTTGGAAACATGGCGCAGACGTACATCGCGTTGTCTTTTCCTTTTCAGTCGCCCATTTTCAACCTGCACAAGTTTCATACTCACTTCAAATCGTACACCTCACAGCAATTCTCTATACCTCCAAAATAGCCCTATACCCTTCATGCCTCGTCTGTCGTTTTGATGCTTCCCTTCTCTCCTCTGGTGTGATTTTTTCCCTTGGTTTTTTTCCGCAAGGGAAATTTTGGGTATTCCTTTTGCCATATCATCAAAGGCGCCTTACTAGCAAATACTCACAGAGACAGAGAGCATCATCATCCTGCCCGCTTTACCTTTGCTTGCCACACCATCTTCTCTTGGTGACTGCTCGAGAAGACGGACACCACCATGGTCACCGAAAAGTCACCTATCATAGCGCCTGGTCAGAAGGGTATCCGAAAACCAACACCAGATATCGAAGGTCACTCGCCCGCCACCTACAAACAACCTCGCGGGGGCAGTCTCGGATGCTTTATGAGAGGTGCTCTGAGCTTCCTGCTTATCCTCCATGAACAGACCACCGGCGTGGCAGCCCAGAGCTTCGACCCAACTCGTCTACCTACAACGTTGGTCTCAAAGGCTCCCGTTGTGAGTCCCACTTGGAAATCTCCTCCTGCTGTTACTCCTACGTCGAAGCCGCCTCCCGTTGTCGGCCCGACATCGATCGCTTCCTCTGTCCCTATACCCCGTAGCTCTAATATAAAGGGCACTTCGAATCCAACCTCGACCCCGCCAAACCCGACCCCTATACCTCTCGTCATCACCAACAGCTGCCCTGATACGATATGGCCCGGAATTGGTACGCAGAATGGCATCGGACCTGAAGTTGGCGGCTTCGAGCTTGCCCCTGGCGAGACGAAGCCACTGTTTGTCAGTCCTGACTGGCAAGGCAGAGTATGGGGACGGACCAACTGCTCGTTCAACAACGACGGAACGGGGCCGAGCAACCTGAATGGCGTGAATGGAAATGGAGCAGCTTGCATGACTGGAGACTGCTTTGGCAGGCTTAACTGCGAGTTTACGGTAAGTTTCTTTCTTTGGCCCACTACGCTTACCCATGTGAGTCACTCAGTGTTTACTCACACAATCTGCAACACACCAGGGCCAAGTCCCAGTAACCCTCGCCGAATTCAATTTGCTCGGCGGGATAAACTCCGACCAGACCTTCTACGATATCTCCCTCGTAGACGGCTACAACCTGCCCCTCGGCATCATCTACATCCCCGCCGCCAACACAACCTGGATCCCCCCGAATCTGACCAACTGCGTCTGCATCGCCTCAGCCGGCTTTCTCGACCCGCCCTCTAGATCAGGGCTCTATTACACTAACAAGACCTTCCCCATTCCCTGGGAATCGGACCAAACCAACCCCTCGGTCGGCGGCTGGTGTCCCTGGGACCTGCAAGAATACCCGCCCTCAAAGCCAGGCGACGGCATTTACCCGTACCCGGACGACTCGATCCAGCGCCCCGTCTTCGACCCGTGCCTGTCGGCCTGCGCGGCGACGGGGAATCCCGAGGACTGCTGCACGGGCAAGTACGACGATCCAAGCGTTTGTATCCCGAGTCTGTACAGCGAGAACGCGAAGACGGTGTGTCCGGATGCGTACAGCTATGCGTTTGATGACCAGACTAGCACATTCATTATTCCCAATGGAGGTGGGTGGGAGGTGGTGTTTTGTCCGAGGGGCAGAAGCACCAATATTCTGAGGATCTTTGGGGAGGAGTTGAGAACGATAGCCAGTGGTGGGGGACTAACAAGAGAGATTTTGGAGAGGGTCCGGAATCGGACATATATCGAAAGTGCAAATTCGAAGGGCTTGAGTGGCGCGGGGATGGTACAGCGGCCTGGCGCTGCGGTTTTCGGTGTCGTGGCTTTGATGTGGATGTGGATGGTGTTCTGGTGCTGATGGTTTTCTTTACCCTTTGGGCTGGGTTTTGCAGGTTGGAGATCCCTTTATTGACTTGATACTATACCCCTATTTTCTTCGTGAGCTGGCATTCAACCAGACTTTTTTCTTTTCTCCTTATTTTCTTTTTTCTTTTGGGCTTTGGTTATCCTTCTCGTACCTATCGAGCTTTTGTACTACATGCTGGATGAATAACAGTTTCGTGAGGATGTGAACTAGAGGTTGATAGACGTTGTTTTGTACTACCTACCTAGTCTTATACCCTTAAACACTCTCTTTCTAACCAATATTTGTCTTTAAGTCAACAATACTCGAAATGTAACAAGCCCATTTCTGTGGTTTATGGAGTCAAGTAAGACTAGGTATATTTTATTTTGATTAAGTATTGATCTTAAAACTCAAGTTTCTCTAACGGTGTTAATAACACTTGCTTCGCTCTAGACTTTAGTGATATCGCTCGCTTTACATGCTGCAACAAGCACAAAGCATAAATCTAACCGCAGTGCAGCTAGTTATCCATGCTAGCTTATATCGAGGGGCCGTAAGAAATAGCCTAGATACCAGCGGCGCTGTTCGGTCCACGCTTCCACAGAGCTGCTACCTTGAAGGGATGTTGTGGTGTCTCTTCGGGTATCTAGACATGGCTCTCTAGAAGTCTCACCAAGTCCCCTGTTAAACCTGTGAGTCCCTTCACTTCCTCGCCGCCCTCCTCCTCTCCCACTCAGCTCTTTCCTCATCATCACTCCCACTAAACTCAGCATCCTCATCCTCCTCCTCTACATCCAAAACGGCCTGTTGGCCCTGCTGTGGCTTGACATTCTCCGCACTCACAAAGTCGCCCGCGTTGAGCAGGGCGTACTCGTGCTTCTGTATCAGCTCCCTCAGCCCCTTGTTCCGCGGATCCACCAGCTGCAACGCCGTCAAGCCGCCTTTGTTCTTCACGCGCGGGTTCGATCCGGCCTCCAGCATCATGTCCACCAGCTCGTTGCCGAACTCGCGCTGCGCTTCCGGCTCGCTGTTGATCCATCGGACTGCGCTGTGCAGCGGGGTGTCGCCCTCGAGTCGGTTGACGGGATCGCATTCAAAGCCTGGTTGGTCGAGGAGCATGTCGATTATCTCGTAGTTACCACGGAGCGCGGCTTCGTGGTAGAGGTGGTTGCCCATCACGGTGGTCGTGTTATTCAAGAGAGAGGAGATTTCTTCGTCGGATTTGTCGGCGAGGATTTCCGAGAGGAGGTCAGTGTTGTTACGCCGGCAAGCTTCAATGAGCTGCTCGGAGATGGAGGCACCCTGTATTTTGGGGAGTGAAAGAAGGAAGGGTTAGCTGGGGTTGTCTGTAGTATAACTGTTTTTGCGGAAGGGCGTAGGGGCGGGTGAAACGGGGGAGAGAAGAGAGGGCGTTAGCTGTGGGTAGAGGGCGCTTGTGTGGTACGAACCTCGTGTTCTTCGTCCTTTCCGGCCATGGTTACTGGTAGGTCACTTGTGGTTGTCTCGGAAACGGCGGGTGATGTTTCTTGGTTGCAGGAGGAAGCACAAGTAGCGAAAACGACGGTGAAAGCGAAGAGGGATGACGGCGAGAGTTGTCCAAAGTAGAGAGGTAAGATTGGCCTGGAATCGCTAATTACGAGCGGGAATCGTGGAAATGGGTCGGCGGGGGAGAGTGGATGTACGGTATGGAAGTGGCCAGGCCGTCGAATCAGGTAATCGGTCGATTCCTATAAAAGGATCGGGATCGCGTAACGCTCAATGAGAGATCCTCGGGGTAATAAGAGGGCGGCGAACGACTGTTCGTAGGGTACAGTGTACTGTATTCTATGAGATATCTCCAGTCGTGGTGGTGGTTGTTGTATGAAGGACGGGAAGCATTCCGTACCTAACGAACGGGCTGGTTAGGAGGTGGCAGTGGCAGTGTCGTCTTCCCTTGGTGTTACAGAATGGTCGGCTCCTTGCGGGGCCCGATCAGGACGCTGGCATTCAGATGGCATGCGCTGAGGCCCAGCTGCATGTCAGTGGGCAGGTACGTACCTACCTTAGCACAGGCACAACAGAAAGGGCAGTTGGGTCCAGGTACCGCTGACCAAGTGTGGGGCAGCTGATGATGCAGATCTGACCAATGAAAATTCAAGCGCTACATTTAAGGTTTATAGAATTAACGGTCCGCATCGAGCTGTACATAACACTTTTTTCAGGCCTTCGCCCCTACATTGACTATTTACACTTTGAGAACTTATATCACCACCTTAAAACCCAGCAAGTGATAGACACACACCGGTTTTGGCCAGCTGTTATCACAAAGGTACCAACTTACGGCGACGCCTCTTCTCATCAAGATCGTCAACGAGATTTTTTGGCAACTGCTCGACTCATCTCACTCACTATCCATAACGGACGATAACATCCAACAAATCCAGTCCCTTCATCAATAAACAAACATGCCTATCGTCTGTAAGTGTAAATCCACCCACAAAGGCTAGGACACCAGAAATAAACGCCCACCACAGTCTGCCCATTCTGCGCCAACCTCCTCATCCTCTCCCGAGCGGACACGGGTGGCAACAGGCTCGAGTGCAGAACCTGTCCTTACGAACACCCCATCGACAAGCCCATCTACTCCCGCAAGAACTTCCCGCGCAAGGAGAAGGAAGACGTGTTTGGTGGGCCAGGCGCTTGGGACAATGCACAAAAGGGCAAGGTCCAGTGTGACAGCGGGACTTGCAATGGCAACGAGGCAGCCTTCTTCCAGGTTCAGATTCGTAGTGCTGATGAACCGATGACAACGTTCTACAAGGTAAGAAGGGGATTGCAGACTTATGGGATAAAGTAAGAAGCTAACAAATCTCGTAGTGTATGACTTGCGGGCACAGGTGGAGAGACAACAACTAGAAGAAGAAGAAGAAGACATGTTCAGCACAGGTCTGGTCGGATCATCAATACATGGTATTGGGGGCATTGCTTGGCGTTGGGTTTTTCTTTTGTTTTTGTGTTGTTGCATGTGAGGTATTCTTCATCAGAATCAACTTGTGCGGTACTGGCCTGCCAAAGGTTACTTCCCACTCGTTTCCATCCATGGCATCATTCTACCCGTGCAACTTATGCCGTGCTTGGAAAACTCTCTCGATGCCAGTCGATTCCGGCCTTCATGCCCTCTAGCCTGAGACGCTCAACCAGGTCTGGGCTGATGATGTCCTGCCTGAACTTTTCCTGCTGCAGCAACTCCAGGTTCTTCAAGGTAGGCCCAGGGTAGGTGATATACTTGAGGTAAGGTGGGCGGCTCCAGTACTGGAGATAGTCGAGGTAGGCGATGAAAGCAGGATTGCTGAGTAGCTTCCTGGACGCAAGATGGTTCAGGTACAGCGGGTTGCCAAGTGCTTGAACAAACTGAGTGTTCTGTTAATACCACGCACGCCGGATAATGATGTGTATGAAGCCTACCTCCAGTTCAAGTTCGAACCGTGTATATCCTCCATACTTGGGCTCGTCTGCCCCTGATCCCGGAGGCGCAGGTGGCTCCCTTGCTGAACTGTTTACTGACATGGGATCGGATGCCATGACGTAAAAAATGAGTGTTTGTTACAGTGTTCCAATCTGTGAATGAGCTGGATACCTAGGAACGAGTCTAGATGTTTGCGCCTCTTCGTCAAGTGAATGCGATGGGCAGTACAAGTAAACGTGAGCAGTGGCTGTGTATGGTACCCGATGTCTTAAATGGTCGTTGTGTTGGACGAAAGCCTCAACGGTGAGTGCCCGGAAGGAAGGCGAGACTGTTTTGTTGCACTAACAATTCCTAGAGGGCGGCCCGGATGTGGCAAAATAGTGGGGCAAGCAAGCGGAGATGGCTCTGTCCCTGCAGAAAAATTAGCGTGTGACCACTATAAATACTCAGATCAGCCCTGTAACTTGCAGCTGCAGTGACAGTCAACCCGACAACAACCTGGAACCTAATTGTGGAACCCAAGGCCGCTCCCGTTGTTCCCTTCAGGTTGGACACGCAGCTTTATCTCAACACCAACCCAACATCTCACGTTGACGGTATTATCTCATCTTCCTCACTGCTACAAAAAGCCTTCGATACTCGGTGTTCATATTTCATTCAAAACGACAGATTACGGCAAATAGAGACGCATGAGTATCGCGAGTCGATTAGGATATCACCATGGCTTCTCCTGAAGCTTCGGCCGTCAACGCGACAGGTACCACCCTTCCATCTCCGGTCCCAGAGGCCACCCCATATAATTTCCATTGGGAGACGCTCCTTAGGCCAGAAGTTCTTTGGTTCGATGCTCGGGTTATCTTCGGCGCCTTGACTGTAATATGGCTTGGTGCTCATGGCTCCCTCCGCCGACCTCCCTCCGCTGCCCCACCAGAGTCCGAAGACAAGGACGAGAAGAAGAAGAAGTCAAAGGAAGACGAGCAGTTCACTGAAGGATTGACTGCCTCTGATGCCATCATGTTTCCCATTCTGGCCGGCGCTGTTCTCATTGGGCTCTACTATCTGCTAGAGTGGCTTAAGGACCCCAACCTGTTGAACAAGATACTGCGAGGTTACATGTCTTTCGCTGGCATCGCCGGCCTCGGCAAGCTGTCCGGGGACGCCTTAGAGATTCTCACCAGCTTGATTTTCCCAAAAGTATGGTCAGATCGCAGCAACAGACTCTACTACGTCGATCCGAAACGCCGCTCTCAGGTACTAGTTGACCCAACGACGAACCAGGCCATGATCACCGACAAGAAGTCCCCTTTCCCCGGTGTGTTTTCCATGGTTCGCCTGCCTACTGGAATTAACAGACTTGCCTGGGAGATTCGGCACCTCTTTACGGAGAAGTGGACAGTCCGCCTTGCTGCCCATGGCGTCGGCTCTTTCAAGTCGCAGATCAAGTTCAACCATTTACTTGGATTCTTGGTCTCAATCGCGATAACTACTGCCTATCACCTTGTTCAGTGGCATGTCCTTTCCAACATTCTTGGGGCTGCCATGTGCTACGCTGCTTTTGGCATGCTCTCGCCCACGTCTTTCGGTATAGGCACCGCTGTTCTCTGGGGTCTCTTCTTCTATGACATCGTCATGGTGTTTTACACGTATGTTTCCACCTATCCTCCAGCCAAGACAGCTAACCAGTTGCTAATTCGTTTTCTACAGTCCATTCATGATCACTGTTGCTAAAAAGGTTGACGCCCCAATCAAGCTGGTTTTCAAGAGTTCTTCCGGCTTCAGCATGCTGGGACTTGGAGACATTGTTGTTCCTGGCTTGGTCATGACACTCGCCCTTCGCTTCGACTTATACATGTTTTACAAGAGACAAATCCAATACCAGCCTATTGGTGCGTCTTCCAGGCAGGCCTTATCCACGGATCAAGCAGCTACGTCCACGAATGAAATGCAGTTCCAACGAACCAAAGCACCATTTGTGGAATCCGAAGGTCAATGGGGCAACCGCTTCTGGACTACCAAGCTGGGCAACCTGATGCCAAACCCAGCATGTGGCGCGGTCGGAGCTGCAACTGCTTTTCCCAAGCCCTACTTTTACGCTTCGCTAGCAGGCTATGCCTTGGGCATGGTTTTCACCTTGACGATGCTCCAGGTGTTCAACCACGGACAGCCCGCGCTGTTGTACCTGGTCCCTTGCGTTACCGGGTCCGTCTGGTTGACCGGTCTGATCCGCAGGGAACTCAAGGATGTGTGGGGCTATACCGAGGACGGGAGTTTGGACACGAAGGACGTCGTTGTTACGTTGGACGCTGATGGAGATGAGGTCAGCAAGCCAGCGAGAGACAAGGATAATAAAGAGGCGAAGGACGGTGGTAAGGCTCAGAAGGAGGCAGAGAAGGAGGAAGAGGAGACACCCGAGGAGTACGATGTCGTGCTATTCTCCATCAAGGCTCCCAGGCCCAAGCCTCCGAAGACGGATTAGTTATCTGAGGTAGCCAGGACTTTGAATCGGGTATGATGCTATTGGGATAGAGAGCGTATGGAGTTTGGGTTCGAAGAATACATAGCAGGTAGAAGTGCATGCCACTTAGCGTCATCATAATATATCTGGGAAAAAAAAAGAAAAAAAAGACACAATGATCCTGCCCCACTTGGACATTCGTCGGGCGTTCACGTTGCGTCTTAAAGTAGCTATCGAGACCATAACTGGACTCACTGAAACATGAACATTGACAGAAACAAGAAGTAAAAGAAGCGAAAAAAAAAGAAGAAAAAAAAAGAAAGACCATGTCACCATTTGAACCCCACGACCTCTGTCTCCTTTTCCCATCTGCTCCCTCACCTTCGATGAAAATATGAAAATATACCTTAAAAAGAAAGCCCAACAACCGCGCAGTCAAGCAGCACACGTCTGCTAACTGGCTCAACGCTCTCCCTACCATCTCTTCTCTGTGCTAGTGATTAACTTTCATTTGGACGCGGCCTAGCAATGTGGAGCCTTTTTGAGTTACTTGAATGTACATCATTGTTCTCGAAACAACAGGTGAGTATTTTGGGGCCAGGGTGGTTTGAGTTGTCACGAAGGTAGACCGTTACGCTAGCTGACCCAGCGTTGTCGGCGATCGTAGCTGCTCATTAAGGGGCTTATATGTCCGTTTGTCAGAGGATCAAGTTGGGAAGGAGCGGGAGGTTCATAAGTACCTACTTCTAAGTACGGGGTGCCTGATGGGACGGGAAGGAATGTTGATGTTTGCTGGTTGTCCTTACTGTCGGTCAGTGCTGCTACTAGGAAGTGATCCTTTTGGGTGGGTGTTTCTAGAGTTCTCGTTGTGAGAGACGGGAGATGATGATAGAGGTATATCTGTAAACTGGAACGGAGTTGTGTGCATAAGCTAGATGACTGTCCGTACCGATTCCTTATGTACAACTCCATAAGATATCATACTTGCTATTTGCTGGTTTTTTTTTTCCCCTGACCTAATCAACACCAGACACCATCCTACCAGATCTTGTATCTCTCTACATAAGGAACGAGCGGAGATCAAACACCCACTCTCCAGCAACAGCAACAACAGCATTTACATACGACCATAGGCACTTGGAGAACTCGGGATCCCGTCTGATCTCCCATCGATAAGCCAGTGACCGCCAGACTAGTAGTCGGATCGGTGACGACTGGCGAATAACCTGGTGTTGTATGTCTTTGTTTTTTTGTTCCTTCTCTTTTTGGTCCTCTACCTTTGGCTCCTTCTCTTGGCGGAAAATGGGATGTGTGTTGAAGGAATGAGCAATGGGTACTAACCATGGAACAAAAACAGCTGGATGTCTTTCTGTGATCAAGTTCAAAAACATGTTCTCGCCCGCTGCATTGAGTGTCTATTCTGATGGACTGTGAATGAGAATCCGCTGTGCCCCACACAAAGGCTATAACGCCGTCACCTCTCATGCCCTCCCACATTTCCTTCGAAGCCTCTACAGTTCCTCACAGTGGTATCAAGAACGATCCATCCTCCTGCACATGCTCCTTCACACCGTATCGATCCGATTGCAGCCTGTCCATTTCACCACGTCCGCAAATTTAGTCCCTTTTGACTCGCCTCAGGCAACAGGAAGAGAAAAGTGCGGACTTCACTTACGCCCACTCATTATACCCCGTAGTCATAGTCATGTAACACTCAATGAACCTCTCCACGCCATTACGAACTTGTGAGTCCTCTTTCATGGTTTTGATCAGGAGATCACCAGCCGCGCTTTCAAACCGCTCGTGAGACGATTTGACTTCTTGAAGAACCTCTGCCACGATGGTATTCTGGTCTTGGCCTGTTTCGTTCATGGTTATGGGAATGAGGCTGTAGAGGCTTGAGTTCTGTGTGGTTGTTAATTTTCTGAAGCAGAAGAACTGATGGGTGGTTGGGAGGTGAAAATATGGACTAATGAGTTCTTTCTTGCGAGATATCAAATCATGACCTTGTCTAATCTACAGAGCCCGAATACCAATAGAGTGGATGGTTTTCCCATGTATGTGGTAATGGTCAGCATGTGCGAACACCTCTCATCGTAGCACTCTTTTGGACCCCGGAATCCATCATGTTGAAGCGTCAAAAGGGTTTGGATAGAAACCCCCATTAGAACGCCACAATTCCATTCGAGGTACTGTCCAGACTGAGTCTATTGAATACTTCACTGTCGTCGTCCAACCGTCGAAGTAACATGTCGTTCGCATTTGGTCAGAAGCGAATCGATAGCGTCGTTCTGTCGATAATCTACCCCAAACTGAACGCCGAGCCATCAGGAGCATAGGGGCCTCATTCGGTCGTTATTTGTTGTGGAACTAGTACGAGAGTTGAAAGAAGAAAGAGGCTGTGTGCTGTGTGCGATTACTTCGGGCTCGGGGGCTCCGTATAGTCCGTTTGGAGTCTACTGCATAGTAGACCTCGGAGGCCGCTGGTAGTATCCACATCGGGATGGATTGACCGGTCGAGCGATACCCGCGAGATGATTGAAAGGAAGGAGGCCTGCGGATGAGAATAGACCAAGGCAAAGCTTATAATTGGTTACCTACCTTAGAACAATGTCGTCCAGATAACCATCCAGTCTTTGCGGCTGGAGAGAGCATCAGGCATCGAGTGACTCGTCAAGGAAATAGATGCTGACTAGCTTCCCATCCCTGGGATGACATATCAACTTCGCTTTTTCGTTCTCCAGCAGCAGCAGCAGCAGCAGCAGCTTAATATATACAACGATGCCAGGCCAGCCATACCTTTCATCTTAAACCGGGGGAAAATAACAACAATGTGGGCGCAAAAACAAGCAAAGGAATCAAATCCAGTTTTCAACATGCCCAGCTAAACTCCGTATGAACCGCGATATACCAAGGTGAAAGTCAAAAACTGTATGTAAGGAGAACGTTGACCAAGCATGACCCAAAAATTCGCTGGATTGTAAAAACCTTTCGGGAAAAAATGTGCGACAAGTGTTACGCACGACAGACAATTTTGGATCTCATCAGATCCAACAAGGTTTACTCATTTACATGGTGGGAATACCCTCGTACTCAGCGTAGCCAAGGGCAAGGTTCATGTTCTCTGTTAATCTGGTTAGCAGAGGCACTCTGCGAAACTGGAGAGTATAGTAAACTTACGCAGGCACTGGGTAGCGGCACCCTTGAGGAGGTTGTCAATGGTAGCGCAGATGACGACGCGGCGGCCGGACTTGTCAACCTCGAAACCACCAATTTCAACACCGTGCTTACCACCAATGTTCTTAACGGAAGGAGCCTCGCCAACAACCTTGACGAGCTTCTCGCCGGCATAGCGGTCCTGGTACAGCTGACGGATGTCGCGGGAAGTCATGCTCTTGTTGAGGGGAATGGAGATGGTGTGGTGGATACCGCGGAACCAGACAGCGACGTGGGGCATGAAGGCAATCTCGGCACCGAGCTGGGAGCTAACCTCACGCTCGTGGATGTGGCCAGTCAAGCTGTAGGGGATGATGTTGTTGGTGAGATTCTCGACATCGTTCTTGGGAGAAGGCTTGGTGCCAGCACCAGAGTAGCCAGAGACACCGAAGACGTGGGGCATACCACCGAGGTGAGGAACCAGGGGAGAAATACCGAGCTGGGCGGCAGTAGCGTAGCAGCCGGGGTTGGCGATCTGAGTAGCCTGGATGATGTTGCTGCGCTGGACAAGCTCAGGGAGACCGTAAGTCCACTTGTTGTCAAAGCGGTAATCGGCAGAAAGATCGATGATAACGCTCTTGTGGCCGGAAGCCTTGCGACCCTCCCACACGGCCTCAACGAAGGGCTTGCAGACACCGTTGGGCAGAGCCATAACCCAGCAGTCAATCTCGCCACGCTTCTCCATGTCACGGACATCCTCAGGGCTGAGGTTCTCGTAGATAACCTCCTGCTTGTTGTAGCCTTCGAGTTTCTTGCCAGCAAGCTCACGAGAGGAGACATGGTGAAGCTCCATGTTGGGGTGGGAGTCGATGAGGCGGATCAGCTCCTGGCCCGTGTAACCACGAGCACCGATGAGGGCAACGCGGGCGGGACGGTCCATGGAGGCATTTTGCTTGCCAACAGGGGGGTTGGGGTTGGTCTGGGTTAGGTAGCCCCTGCGGTTGGAGATGCTGAACTTGGGAAGGGCAGGGCGGCGAGCAAGAGTGGAGTAGCCGCGAACCTGCTGGGCAGCGGGCTTGCTGGCAGCCTGACGAAGACGAGACTCGAGGTTGGAGTTACCAAGCATGGCGCGGCCGTTCTCGGTGAAATCCTTCATGAGCTTGACAATCTCATCGCCGTTCTCAATGCCATACCAGAACATGACATCACCCTGGCGGGTGATGCTACCGTCGGCCTTGTCGAAGAACCAGCCGAGGTTCTCGTCATCCTCCTTCACAGTCCAGACGAGGGAGGGGTGCTCCTTCTTGAGGGCAGTGAAGATGTTGTCAGCAATGTTGGTCAACCAGCCAGACTTGGTAATAGTAAGAGTGGCAAGGGTGGCCTGACGACCCTCGCTGGCGGGAAGGACGATGGCAAGGGCGTTCATGGAGCTGTCGAAGTAGGCCTTGAAGGGGTTCTCCTTGAGGAAGTCGAGGTACTTTTCAACAGTCTCCTTGGCATCGGGGCCCTCACGATCGCGGATCAGGACAGATTTGAGAGCCTCGAGGTCCTTGAACTCAGAAAGGCTGGTGGAGGCCTGGAGCTTGCTGCCACGGCGGATAAGGGTACCGGCGCCGGAGTCGGTGAAAAGCTCCTTCTGGAGTTCCTCGGGATGGATGATGGCGACGCTGGTGGTACGGGGAAGAGTGTCGAGGAGCTCCTTGATCTCCTTGATCTTGAGACGGGTGCCATACTTGACCCAGGCCTGGGACATGAGGTGCTCGTACTCCTCGTCGAGGTTGATGGCGGAGATCTTCTGGCCACCAGCATCGAAGAGACCACCCTTCTCGGAGAGGTAGACAACCTTGAGGGGCTCAAGGGCACGGGCGAGCTCAGCAGCGGCGACATCAGCGTTGACGTTGAGAATCTGGCCGTCATCGGTCTCAGCCATGGAGGTGAGGATAGGGAGATAACCGTTGCTAATGGCAGTCTCGATAGCCTGCTTGTTAACGCCGGTGACCTTGCCGACAAGGCCCCACTTCTCCTTGTTCAGGTAGTCGGCGCGGAACATGCCAGTGGTGAGGGGCTGGGCATGGACACCCATCTCCTCGAGCTTGTTGACGAGCTTGAGGTTCTCCTGGAGGAAGAGATCGCGGGCAACACGGAGGGTCTTGGCATCGGTCACACGGATACCCTCCTCAAACTGGGGCTCAACACCAGCATCCTCAAGGAGCCTGTTGAGCTGGGGACCAGCGCCATGGACAATGACGGGGTAGAGACCGACAGTGTAGAGGAACTTGAGAGCGGCGCAAAGCTCGTCGAGGTAGTCGGTCAAGATAGCGCCGCCGACCTTAATAACGGCGAAACGCTGGGAGGAGACCGAGGTGAAGAGAGAGAGGTACTGCTGGACCTCGCGCTTTGAACCGACCGAGGACAGGGTCTGGACGATCATGCCCCGGGTAGTAAGATCGGTCGAGCGAGCGGCCGTGGTAGAGATCTGACGGCGAGCGGCGGCAGCGCGGGGGAGAGCACGAGCGCTCTTGGGAACCCGGCGAACAACGCGACGGGCTCCGGCCCGGAGGGCAACAGCGCAAGCGGAGTACATGTTGAAAGATTTGTTGTTTGTTTCGGCGGCTCGTTAACTCGAGGAGACTATCGAAGCGATCGGGCAACCGGTGATGCGCTCGGCGGAGGATATGAGGGGCGGGCTGGCGACTGGTATGGCGTTGTACCGAGGAGTGACTAATAGGCTGCCCTGGCTGCTCTAGATCGTAACTAGAAAGAATGTGGAGAGAAAACTTAAAAAAAACTCAGTTGTCTGGTTAACTGGCGCGCAAATCACCAACCATTGACAGGCAAGGAACTAAAGAAAACAACGGAGAGGAGAGGAGAGGACCCTAAGCTGACTCCCGAATCCCTTGCCAAAGATCAATGGGTTTGGTATGATGATTTGTCTTCGGGAAGAAGGAGCCGGCGTTCGGGGGGGTTCAATGTTTTTAATTTTGCAAGACTTGGTTGCAGTCGGCCCAATGCCCCATGCAGGCCTGGCGAGTGAGGGGGCTGCCCTGGCACTCTGGCCAAGTCCAGTCCCGTCAAGTGTGGAGGAGGGGCAACTAGGAAGAAAAAAAATTGCAACCACAACCGAAACCGCTCATGGGGAGGGGTTGGTGAGGGGTACGTACCTGTAGATCGAGATGTTGATGGCTACAGAATCACCACATCAACTGGTCGATAATCATGGGTTGAAGAGAAGAACATGAAGGCAAATAGCGCCGAGGACAACCCCGGCGACCCCCTGGTTTTCTATCTTGTGTACACACGGCAGGCTGACCGCCGCTGACTTGTCTTATCAGATGGAAAAACGGCCTTCATTTGTTTACCCCGTTCTCCCCCATCTCTCCTCCACATATTGGTCGCCGAAACCGCAGTGTCTCCAGCATCACAAAACCGATGTTGGGCCGCCAAGAGATGTCCAAGCGACATCGTGTGCAGGTGACACAGTCACGAGCATCACTCACTGTTGACAGCAGGAAGATATGACTCCTTTGCATGAAGCTTTACGCGATATGATCACCTCATTTTTGTTTGCCGCTGTCTCTTCTCAACAGATTGAGAAGAAAATAACTCTCAAGGTGCACACGGTACGGAGTCACATCGAGGCTCCATCGTATGATGCACCTTGGGACGCATTTCAGGCATTTTACGGTCCATGCCATGGCCCGGGTACAATGAGTGGAACCTGCATCAACAGCGACACCCGCATGGTAGCCGGTGCTCCGGCGTCGCCCCCGTCACCCCGTCCCCGCACCCGACACAAAGTTGCCATTCGGTGCCGTACTCTAAACAAAGCATATACTACCCTGTATGTGGGTGATAGGGAAAGGTAGAATTACTATTAGTAGGTGGATGGGTCATGATACCGTCTTGATTAGCCATTCAAGAGTTGAGAAAACAACAGTACGCCTCCTCGCCTTTCGTCTCGTAGATACAGGGTGTATATGGTATAAGCGATGAACCTTTCCGCGCCGCCTCTAGCAGGTCGTGTGGTTCCGGGCATCAGTCGAAGAAGTCGTCACCAAGACCAAAGCCAAAGCCATCTCAACCAGCGAGGAGACCATGATATAACCGCGGCGATGAAAAGTTTCGAAAGGAAAAAAGAAAAAAAAAGCAACCCAATACTGAATCCCAGTGAAGCACGATTTCCGTTCCCTGCGAATGCTAAAAAGCAAGCCAAATCCAGCTTCGTGCACTTCCTGACAACGTTTCTGTTTCACTCATCATAACCAAATCATTCACGAGCAGCTTAGCGCGTAGCAACGACTAGAAAGAGCCATGTTAGCAAACGCTTCTCAGTACTCATGGTTAAATTCAAGGTCAAACATACCTGCTGGGACAATGATAATTACGAGTAAGATAATGATGCCCACAATCAAGCAGATGCGCATCTTCATGTCCTGTTGAAGTCAGTCAGTCAGTGGAAAGGCCCTTCCGTACAGCGCAAGCGGCGAGATAGTTCATACCTTCCACCACATCTTCTTGCGGACCTGGTTGGCACCACGACGAAAGCCCTGTGCACTAATAGCGAGGTCATCGGTCTTGGTTTGAAGGGCGTCGATCCTTTCACCACGCTGAGAGACCTTGTTGATGTTCTCGCGCATCACTCCGACAGTGTCGTCGATTTGCTATACTTCCGTCAGCCCAAATACCAGAAATGGCCGCAGCATGCCAGAGCCACAACGATCCGACTATGATACGAGGCAATCCGTATCCGTCTGCTTGTCCCAACGATGCCGAATTTCCCATGTAGTAGCTGTGTATGGCCTGTCGCAGACAGTTCCGTAGTCTTGTGCTTTGACCGCCATATCCGGAGGAGACCGGGGGCGCAACCATTCTTCCACCCAAATGCTCGTCCGGACGCTGGTGAGAGCAAGCCGACCGCGTGTTCATGCCATGCAATCCATCAAAACCCATCGGATCCATCAACCCGCCCGCATGCATAACTTTGGCCATTACGTACCCTCCCTGAGACGATTTTCAAAAGCTAGGCGCGGTATTGTTGACAAGATCTTGTGATTATTTGACCTCGCGGGGATCAAGCAGATGGATAGCCCAAGCATTCCAGGGGTATCGTTCGATTCCACATTGCCAAAAAGTGCCATTATAGGGGGAAACAACCCACCTGTTGCAGTCTGGCGGTTCCCGCGTTGTTGCCGGCACCTTGTTGCCCGGCGGCGCCATGCTGGCCGCTGGGGATATAAGGGTCGTACGGAGCGTCGGACATTGTTTTTGAGGGTGGCTGAATACGCAATGGATTGGTTGTTGTCGATTAGGCTTCAAGCGCGAGCTCTGGAAAAGGAGGATGTGATGGTGTTGAGGGTGTGTCGCGGGTTACGTTGCGGAAGAGGTCGTGATTTCGCTGGCCGTTGTGGGGAGGGGAGGTCGGGTTGTTGGAATGCAGAAGGTTGGCAATTAGGAAGGGCTGGTGAGGTGGTCTGGAGGTTGCAAGACGTTTGGGTTTGAGGGCGCAGGAACGAGGTCAGAGGACAGCCGGGCGGCTTGAACTCACCTAAGTGATTGGGTTGCCGCTAGCAGAGAAGAGGGCTAGGGTACGGGAGATACTAATGGTGTTCACGCTAAATGTCATGCGCCGTTGTTAAGATCTGAGGTACACAAGCACGAGCCACAATCCCTTTTGTCGCTTCCAAGGAAGCCCCACAACAACCAGGAACCCAGGCACGGCCTGGCTTGACGCCAACAAATGTTTCTCATGCGAACCTCTTGTTTTCAGTTACATATCAGGGGCTTGGCCTAGGTTCGAAGATTTTGCGCTTTGTTCTGCTTCGGTCCTATTGAGACGCAAAAGGCGATGTGGCTCGGTAGCTATCGCTTTGTGTTTTGTGCTTATGTTTAGAGTCGTCTTGATGTTCATTCTCTTTCAACCCGCCAGGAAGCTTCCACTTCGTTCAGCTTACGGAAATAGGTTCTGTACCTAGGTACCCAACTGTGAGAGTGCCCACCAACAAGCACTCAGGGCGTCCCCCCCTCAGCTTCACCCCTCAGTGGCTATGCAGCTTCTGATGACGAACCAGACCAAGTTCAAGGTGCAGTGAGAAATCGGTCATTCGTCCATCTGAAAAGTCGCACGTGAAAACGCACTAGCCAGTAGCCACGGATCCGGTATTTTCCAACATGCACAAGAAAGATCTCGAAGACTCAACTTTACCGCCTCAAGGTCTATAGATCTATGTATGTACATATCTACCCGAGAGACAAGTAAAGCTTGAGCTGGCGAGGTGATGACACGGTGAAGAGCCTGTCTTTCCCCTGAGTACTCCTGACTACGACACTTCACCGACTGCGTAGAGCTTAGAGGTACACTTAACCGCATTGGCACGGTATGTTCTCCTGTGTCGGGTCGGTTGTGTTGCAGCTTCGTTTCATCGACCATCTACATTATACATTCTTCACAATACCACTACATAGCTCGTACCTGGCCCCTCATACTCAACCGTCGAAGATGCCCGACTTTACCGGCAAAAGCATCCACGGTATGTGGATGTTACAGCATCTTTCTCTCTGGTCCCCGGTCCACCTGAATGGCCCGGAGGGGCTGTTGACCGAAGCGAATGCCGTCGACCAGCAAATGCATATTCGACGGGATTTACATATATGGAAATGGACAAAAAGATATAAGCTCATGCCGTTCCAGGACCCTCGCCACTAACACCCAGTTCCACCTTTGGTGTAGCAAAATGTTGAAACAAATCGGGTAGGATTGTCTGCAAGTCAGTCAGTCGGCTGCTTCCAGACTCCCACGCGCAACAACATGGGGTGAACTGCTGGACTCCAAAAGGGTTCGCAAAATGGAGTCATCGCCGCCAGCACAAGGAATGGGGGTCCCGGTCTTGCCGGTTCAAGAGCGGCCTCTAATGCGCCCCGGCAGCTGGCGGGTATGATCGGCGTTACGTAACCGGACATGGGCGGCGTGGGCCACTAAAATTCATCAAAGGCTCCAAAAGCGCCGGCGCACCGGGGGGCCGAACTTTTTGTCTCCATCCCATGCTCCCCCAACGGTAGTCATCCATATCATCCGCATCCGCCACCCAAGATCCCCCGGCTTGTTTGCAGCAGTTCACGACTGGTAGGGTTCCGGCAAGCTCAACACCAAGACTTATCACACATTATGGCTTCACCGGTCCCGATCCAGCGTCTCCAGGCGCCTTTGCGGAGGTCTCTTGCGCGTGCCGCCGCCCTGTCGACTCGGTCATACGCCACCATCCCATCTGGCCCATCCAGCCAGCCGACATCGCAAGAGTCATCATCAGCTGCATCCGCATCCGCGCCCGCAACCAAGCCGCGCCCGACCTACTTCAAGGACACCACTCTCGCTTCCCTCGACGACTTTATCGCAAGCCAATCGTCAGCCGCTCCTCTCGCACCCAGCGAAGCTTACACCCTGCGCACAGCCGAAGTCGGACCCGCCGGCAAGAAGCGTACCATCACCCGCTTGCCTGAATGGCTCAAGACACCCATCCCGAGTGCTGGCGCGAACCCCGAATTTGCCAAGATCAAGGCCGACCTGCGCGGTCTCAATCTTCACACAGTATGCGAGGAGGCTAGGTGTCCCAACATCGGCGAGTGCTGGGGCGGCTCTAACAAGGCCGCCGCGACGGCCACCATCATGCTCATGGGCGACACCTGCACCCGTGGCTGTCGCTTCTGCAGCGTCAAGACAAGCCGCAAGCCGCCTCCGCTGGATCCTCACGAGCCCGAGAACACCGCTGAGGCTCTGGCCCGCTGGGGTCTCGGTTATGTTGTGCTGACGAGTGTCGACCGTGACGATCTGGCCGATGGTGGTGCCCGGCACTTTGCAGAGACGATTCGCCGGATCAAGCAAAAGAAGCCGACCCTGCTTGTCGAGGCCTTGACCGGTGACTTTGCTGGTGACTTGGACATGGTCAAGATTGTGGCGGAGAGCGGACTGGATGTGTATGCGCATAACGTTGAGACTGTTGAGAACTTGACACCTTACGTGCGTGATCGCCGTGCCACATTCCACCAGAGTTTGAAGGTGTTGGAGCACGTTAAGAAGGTCCGGGGCAAGGAAGGCATTATCACCAAGACCAGCATCATGCTTGGTCTGGGTGAGACTGAGGAGGAGCTCTGGGAGGCTTTGAGGGGTAAGTCATATCGATTGCGCTTGCCCATTTGATGGATGCTGAACATGATGTTGCTTTGCAGAATTGAGAAAGGTCGACGTCGATGTCGTTACCTTTGGACAGTACATGCGCCCAACCAAGAGACATCTCGCGGTCGAGAAGTACATCACTCCCGACGAGTTCGAGCTCTGGAGGCAGCGTGCCCTTGACATGGGCTTCCTGTACTGCGCTAGTGGTCCTCTGGTCCGTTCTTCATACAAGGCCGGCGAGGCTTTCATCGAGAACGTCTTGAGAAAGCGCTCCGGCGAGAAGGCTGTCTCTAAGGCTCTTGGTCAGGCGGTTGCCGCCGGGGAGGCGACTAGCGCCCAGTCCCCTTGAGGCAGCTTGTGTTAGATGTGGTTTGCGGAGCGTGTTTCAACATTCATAATCGGGATCTAGGCTTTCACAGCTATCCTATGGCGGGTAACATAATAGACGGATGACGGATCGGTCATTAGGCACCTTGGGGGTCGCATGCGTTTTGGCGTTAGGGGAGATTCATTCTTTCGGTTACTTTGAAAAAAAAAACATTCATTCGTTTGCCGTGTCTGAATATAATATTGTAACAACAGTTCTACACAGGGGGCATCGGGAGAGAGATTCCCATGTCCAAAAGGATGCATCATACAAACTCCCTCAGCCCACTAAAAAGCTTTTGAAGCACTCCTCATCGTGCGATCACTTACTTGTACGGGTATCTCAAAAACCCTGCGTACAGTGATGCTTTCTTACCAACACGATGACCCGAGCCCATCTGGGTTTTGAAAAGAGTTTATTCGCCTCTGGGCGTACCGACACCATCTCCAAACCACAACAAACCTCTGGGTTCCTTGTAGCCATGCTCTCTTTTACCAAGAGGCCTTCTTGACACCCGGAATGTTACCCATCAGGGCGTTCATACGGAAATTGTACTGTTTGCGATCCAACAGTGTTAGCAAGTCGCGCGCCTTTGCAGGTTTCCATCATTCCCATGCGGAGCTCAGCTCTTAGCACACCACTCCTCCTTTGAAGCAATCGATAGCGACATACTCTTGTCATCTTGAAGTCCCTCAAGATACCTCGACTCTTTCCACCAAGGATACAGCGGTTCCGGATCTGCGTCGGCCTGGTGTAGGCATGCATCTGGGTGAGCTGGAGCTGGGCGACGGCCCTGGTACGGGCAGGGAGGGTGGTGTTGCGGATAACGTAGCGCAGGGCTTGTCTGTATCAAAAAGCAAGAAGTCGTTAGATCGTATGTTCTTGTCATAGTCGCAAATAAGGATCGCAAGGCGTAGGTAGGTACCTCTCAGGCTCGGCCTCCAAAAAGGCCTTGCGCTTGGAGTGGTCACGAAGGACCCGGACGTTGGTGAAGCACCCGAGGTCGAGCTTCTTGGCACGAAACATGGACATTTTGGCGGTTTGATGTTCCGGGGTAGACTGGCGGGCTGAGTCGGAGGTGGGCGTCAAGAACGGCGGATCGAGGCGCGTAAAGCGATGTCACAGGCACTGCAATCGTTGCTTCCCTCCGGCGTCGTCGCCCGCTAGCCGCAGTCACTCTCCCCGGCTCCCACGGCGGCCAGTGGCCTGTGCGCTTGCCGTCCAGCCCTGCCGCGCGCGGAACAGCAAATTCTGCCGGGCGGTGTCATTTTTGTCGCAGGTTGAAAGCGCCAAACCAAGCAGCAACAAACACTTTGCCAGGTGTGCCAGTCGCACACCAGCTGGACAGCACCTTTTCCTACAGGGCTCCACTCAAAACTCTCAAGCTTGCAGCTCGTGCACAGGCCAGATTCCAGCCTATTTAAGACTGGCCTCCCCTCCCCAATTTTTACCTGGTTTTTTTTCCTCTTTTTTCTTTAGCTCTCTTTGCCTTTTGGCTTAGATCAAGTGTAGTATCTGTTCTTTTCAGTTTAATCTCTGAAACTGCTCTACGGAGTAGAATCGTGATTATTCTAATTTTTGCAACTCGGTCGGTATCCCTCTGGGCTTGCCTATGGTTGCCGACCACTGTGTCCCTGGTATTACACTGCCTCCAGGCGACGCGAACTCAACGCTACTACTTGCTTTGTGCTCATCTTTACTTTTTCGTTGCAATCTCTGGCCATAGGCTGGGGGTGTGAGGAAGAAGGATTGTTTCTGGATGGTCGATTGAATGGTGCCTTTGCGACCCATTTTCCCTACCAAAGATGTGGTTGTCGTGTGCGAAACGAGAGTGTTAAGTTCACCCGTACCTTACCGAATACTTACGTTCACGAGTTGCAAAAGTTGATGCCTGCCGTTCGCATATAACAACCACATCCACCAACACTTTCGTACGTTCGACGACTCCCTTCATTCACCAATGCCTTTACACTAATCGCCGGTGTTTGGCGGTATTCAATCAGTCAGTCTACGGACGATTACTCTCATTTACAGCAACCTTGAGCTTGCCAAAAGGAAACACTGGCCTGCATGCTGAAGCTGCTTTCAGGTTGGGTTCGGTTGTTTACCAGTGAACATGTTTGTCAAGCAAGTTATCTCTACATAATGGGACGAGGAAGGTCTGAATGAGATGGGTAAGATACCCTACAGTATGTCAACACCTTGACGGTTGCAATGTCATCACGGTTTGGCCATTCATCTGAAGAGAAGGGGTCGAGTGTCTCGTTCGTTGTCTGTTTACCTTCTCCTGTTCACTCGTTAGTATCATCCCATCCCGTACTCCGCCTCCGCCTATCTCGTTCTGTGCCTGAGAAGGGAAGAACAACTGCTTGGCTCCTTCCGTCCCATCTTCAACCGCTTCCGTGGCCTTCGAGTTTCTTCGCGATCCTCCAAGCAACGAAGTGTTCAAAAACTCCTCGACGCGATCAGCGTTCTATCCTTCCTCTCGCTTGCAACCGTCTTTGACTCCTCCACATCAACGCACCCAGGAAACTTAACGACTTTCCAACATACAAGATGTTTCGTCGCCGTTGGTCAGGCCTTCCGGCTGAACCAAAGTTCGCCCCAGATCTCAAGAAGCTCAGGTTCGTGATAATCTGCCAAGTCATCCTTCCCACGACGCTCACTCTGATATATCTTGTGCGTATAGTTATTTCATCAACGAGGATGATGAAGTTCGCTACGTGCATGACCCCGACTTCTACTTTAAGTATTTTTCGACCAAGAACACGAGGTACAACGACTGCCAGCGCTTCGCATTCGACCGTATGTAACGAACTCCCCATTTCTGACAATAATTTGAGCTGATACTGACCCAAATGTTGCAATCCAACAGAGGCAGTCAATCAAATCATCGACTCACGGCTCGAAGCCGAGGGTCTAAAGGAAGTCCTCCTCCCGCTCGGGGTTGCCAGCAAAGATGAACCTCACGTCAAAATCCGTCTCAGCGAGAATCTCTCTAACAAGTCACGCGTCGTGATCATCTTCGGCCAGTCTAGCCAGGACTTTGGCATTCTGGCGCACCGTGTCGCTAGCGGACCGGGTGGTCTCAACAAGGGCTCGATGGTGAACATAGTCAAGGCTCTCAAGCAGCAGAAGTCTTCCGCCACCGACGACGCTGCCCCTGGTATCATTCTCGCCAACCCCGGTAACCTCTGGTGGTGGCCTGAGGGGAAGAAAGGGTTGAGTGAATTTGCTCGTCACCAGATTCCGGGTAGCAGTCTGGTTCACTGGGGCTGGCACCATGATCCAGCGAGGAACAGCATTTCGGAGAATGCCAATCCGACGGAGCATCTCAAGTATATCTTTGAGAAGGTGGTGCCACAGTTCGTCAACGACAAGGCCAAGATCGATGTCATCGCGCTTGGTGACATGTCGGACGAGGTGGAGCAGTATCTCGACAATGACGATGTTTGGGCGAAGATCGGATACAGGCTGAACGCTCTTGTGGTGCTGGGTGGTTATTACGATATGCGTAAGGCAAACTGCCAGGGCTTCAAGAAGTTCATGGATCAGGTATGTTGCGCCTCTTCCTTCTAACTAGGCCTTTGATCCAGTATCAATGAACCAGCTAACAACCACTCTTCCATACAGCGTGGGCGCGCCTACATCATGAATCAGGACCCCCTTGACACCCTTATTGCTGGTCCCGAGGGCGGCAGCCGCGCCGTCACCGGCTATGTCGGCTACGGTTGCCCTACCTACAGTGTCGGCCCGAACGCCTTCATCATGGAGCTTGTGCTCGTCGAGGCCGGTTCAGCGGTCTTGAAGTGGCTGCAGGATGTCGCCCTGGACAAGGATTACGTTAACGAGAGAGTTCACATCTTCTTCCCGGAGGAAGAGGAGGATGACGGTAAATGGCCAGGATGGGATAAGGACGACGACGATGAGTCTAAGGGGTCCAAGGAAATCGAGGAACAAGACCATGAAGAGACCAAGAGGGTCCAAGTCAGAGTCCAGAGAGATGCCCAGCCTCCTAAGATGGATAAATGCGAGGGTATCGACGCGGAGTTAGTCAAGGAGATTGCCAAGAGAGAAAGGATGGCGGATGGCAATGCCGACTCAGAGGAGGAGACCTAAGACACCTGGAAACCCAAGGCTGGTGGTTCCTCGCAGAAAGAATCAGTCAAGGGGTCGAGTACTATCTTCCTGGCTACAACGATGAGTGGGACGGGGTTGCTACACCCATTCAGAAGGGGAAACGTGATTATGGTTCTCTCAAGGCAATACAATATTTCTGGCACCACACGGCAGTGGCTGAATCAAGACCATCTACCAATTACTCAGAGATAGCCTAATTTTCAGGAGTTTCGAATCGATAGATAACCGAATTCACATAATCTCCTTGCGATGAGTTTATCCAACAATCGTGAATGTGGGCAAGGAGTGCTGTATCCTGCCTTGCCCTCAAAGTACTAAGCTTCCGTTATACGTACAGTGCTTGAAGCAAACTACAAAACTTACAATCGTACATACTACAACACTAACAAGCGAGTAGCTGCCCTGTGCCCATTTGTCCTGTGCTCCTTTTTCTCACTGAGGCATTTCAAGATACAGTCCCGGTCACACTCACTGACCAACAAGCTGGTGGACCGGGTGGGAGGCTGCTTCGAGGCCACCCCATGATCCATCCATCCCAAATCCACCACATCCTTCCCAACCATCCAGGGATCTAAGCCTGCAAAAATGACAAAAACCCCCTATTCCCCGTTGGCAACTCCTCCAACAAATCCGCCGCCCTCCTCTGTCTCTCGGCAATAACCTTCTCCTCCGCCGCCCACCTATTCAAATCCTCCTGCTTGTGTTCTCCCTGTCCCCAGAAGCTCCACCAACTCGTTTTGTTTTGCTTGTCGAGGCCCGGATTCCTTTCCAGCTCCTCTTTCTTAGCTTTCTCGTCCCTCGCCAGCCTCGAGACCATCATCGTCCAGTTCTCTAAACCTGCAGCCAGACACTCGCGGCATGTTAGTCTGGCGGCCATGGCAGACTGCTTGTTGCTTAGACCGCGGAGTTGTTCTTCGGCGATGTCGACTGCTTCGCGAGTCCAGCCTAGACCTTCTTCGCGGTGGGAATGAGCAGTTGTGGCCGAAGTGTTGTTGTTGTTGGTGGTGGTAGGCTTGGCAGTGTACATGATCTCCCCGATATGCAGACTCAGCGCGGCCTCCTCACATCGTTCCTTGGCATCGCGCAAAGGGGGGAGGGTGCCGTCCTCAGGCGGGTCGGGGTAAGGAGGTTCCTTGAGGAGGGCTAGGACGGCGCCGGCCCAGGTCTGTTTCTTTTGTGGAAGGGGTGAGATGCGGCGCGGGTCGGAAGTCGGAAGGGCCTTGCGCGCTTGGAGGATGGAGACGAGCATGGGAAGCGCGGAGGAGACGTCGCCGTTGCGGGCGCGGAAGGTGGCGAGGGCAGTGAGGGATTGCAGGAGGTTGGACGAGGGATGGTGGCCGGCGGCGTCGATGAGGGTGTAACTTTTGGTGTCCAGGGGGTAATGGCCGCCGGTGAGGAGAGCTTGCTCGCTGGCGGCGAGGTGGACGGCGTCTTCGAGGATGATGTTGGCGGGTCCCGTGATCTGCTTGAATTCAAGCCAAGTGGCGTAGGCGAGGCCGGCTTCCATGCGCTGTCGGTTGGTAAGACCTTCGGTGCAGAGGATGCGCATGTAGATCTCGTTCGGCGACTCGAAGGTCGGCACGCAGTCGTCTTCTTTGGGCGGTCGGTAGTTCTCGTTGGGGAGGGGGCGCGGCTTGGGGTTGGAGGGACCGATCACGTAGTCGTTCGGGATGGTGAGGTTTTGGGTCTTGTCGGTTACCCACTTCTCGACGTTCTCTGCGGCCTTTGCGTACAACATCATGGCTTCGTAGTAGCCCCGTCTCCAGTTCTCAGACATGGAGCTGATGTCCTTGGTGCCTTTTGGCCTGTCGGACGGCGCATCCTTCAGTCCCTTGCCGTCAATGTTGGGATCCTCCAACCGGTCTACCACGCTCTTGATCCAATTCGTCACATGGACCCAGTCGGTTGTGCGGGACGGGTCGGTCTGGTCTCGCTCGCAGAAGGCTCCGCGGAAGAAAATCCGACTAAGCATGCTCCATTCGTGTGGTGATGGATATCGGGCTTCGAGAGTTTCCTGGACAAGGGCGAATGCTATGGCGAAGCAGCAAGCGCCGGCCATCCAGAAGTATGAGGTGATCTTAATTCCCTGCTTGATGTCGTACTTGAGTCTCGCCTTGCGCTCGGTCGTCAGGTAGCGATATTGTTGAGTGGTCACGGGCACATTGAGGAAGCCAAGTTGGGGTCTTGTTTGAACTCCCACGCGAAGTGATGCGCTCTGTGTAAAGAATCGGGTGGTCGTCGAGTGTATCGCCGGGGAGCATGGCCGGGCCAGGTCCCCGCGAGGGAGAAGGAGTCGTGGGCGCATTGCGAAATGTAAGCTCGAGATCTCAGGAGGAGAGGCGGAGGAGGGGGTTAGGTTCAGAAGTTGCAACCTCAAAGGGCAACAATTGAGGTGTCCTACTGTGAGATCTCGTGGTCTGTTCACATCAATGCATGTTGCCTATATTGGCGTGGTCTGGCGCTGAGATGATGCCGTCAATCGACTTTGCTCAGGCCTTTTTTTCCTATTTACTATGTTGTTTCGAGACCAAAATGCAGAGTGTCAATTCCCTCCCAAAATGTCCGTTCCGTCGTTGGTCGTTTCCTGAGCGAGCCTGCGATCCCCGGCCCCTTCAGTTGTTCAGTGGGGCCTCCCCCGCATGGTACACAGGTGCTGGACGAATGATGTCGTCAATCAGGCAGCGCAGCTTCAGGGCACTTGGAGCTTGGGCCCACCGTGATCTCGGGTTCCACCCTGGTCGGATCGGCTCCAACATCTTTCTTTCTTTCTTTTCGGTCAACTTGCAAGAGGGTGTGACTGGTTCGCTTCATCACAAGACTCGCTGACAATGTGAGCTTCGCGATCTACAACCTTCTTCTCGGACTTATGAAGAAAACGCCCACGGGTGCTCATACCGTTACACTAGAAGCCATCTATGCTGTGTATCATGTGGGGTCATGCCCAAGAAACAAGGGTGAGGGTGGGCATTCAGCTAGAACCAGAGAGGGAGACAACATCCAACGAAGCCTCCAAGATACTTATCATCAGATTATAGGCTGCCTTGGCAGGGCTTGCTAGGCAGTCTGGCGTCATGGGCTCGCGCTCTCATGTACGATGAAGGATCACAATCGGGGCGGTATTTATTGTTTTATATCGCCTATTTCCCTGCGTACAACAATTTGATCACAGTCGTAAAGGCGGGTGTCTTCCGTCACGGCTTCCTTCGAGTCATGGAGTGACTGCTCAGTTCCAAGTCATTCGGGAGCCTAAAAGAACGAGAAGCCCATGAATTTTGAGTCGTTCTGGAGCCTCTCTCGTCGACTTGAGATTCAGGTGTTTTGGGTTCAAAGCCTACGACCACAACAACGACAACCTTCAGCCCTAATAAGACCAACAGTGGAGACAAGTTTGGTGGAGTAAACGATCAGAAGCCGGGATCCCCGATCCAAACCTCAGCATCTCCGGATCCGTACACGACCATGGTTTCCTTCCCACGGTGGACCACCCACCCCATCCCTGGCGTATCGCTCTCGGCCGGTGGTCTCCTAGCTCTCGCCGACCTCAGCACTGTTGCCCAGCGCACCGCCATCACCGGCGGCTCCAGCTGGCTCGACAGCCTGCTCCTTGCTCCGGGTCTACACTACCAGCAAGCTGCCGATGAACTCGCCAAGTGGTCCGCATCCAGCGCTACCGCCATTGTCGATGCCGGGGCTGGCGCGGAGCCCGGGGCTAGTTTAACCAGAGGAAACGGCAGCGAAGAAACTAGGAGTTTGGCGCCGACGACCTTCCGCATCAACAATGCTGCCACGTTATTGTACCTTCAAAAGATTGCTCGCCCAGGACAAACGGTCACTTTGGACGTTGGCACTATTCCGGCTATCAGACAGCGGTTACGCATCAGGAGGTCGGAGAGCGGCTTGCATGCCACGATTTGGGCGGAGGATGACTTGCCTGATCTGGGCTGGTTGTCGCATGTTTTATATCTGATCAGTCCGGTATTGACGATAACTGCTATCGTGCTGGTTATTTTGTTTCAGGATTGTGAGTACCTCTTCTTTTCTTCTTTCTTTCTTTCTTTCTTTCTTTCTTTTTTTTTTTTTTTTTTTTTTTTTTTTTTTTTTTTTTTTTTTTTTTTTCCCCCCTTCCTTTTCTACATTTTCCCTCTCCCTTTGACTTACAATCCAACGGCCTGAACTTACAAGTAAACAGGGTGGACCCTGGCCTCTCTTCTAGCTCTAATGGTCTCCCGCATCCTCAACATCTACATTATCAAACAGCGCTCCAAACCCCGTCCCATTCCTTTTCCTCCGTTCCCCTTCCACCCTTTCCACTCCTGTCCATCCTCAGGTTCAGACCACCACGAACCCAACCCCATAACCTCCCTCCTCATTTCTCTCGGCTCCGACTTTCCCAGCCACCCCTCCACCTGCTCCATCCGCCTCCGAGGGCTCTCAGAAGACCTCTACGCTATAACCGCCACCGCCTGGCTACGCGCCAAGACCCACGTGGAGGGCTACCTCGAAGCGACGGCAAAGGTTCTGGTGTACATGGTCGCTGCTTTCTCAGGAAACATGACGCAGGTCGGGGCGATGATCATGATGGTCTTGTTGCTGGCTACGGCGGGATTATTGGCGTTGAGTAATGCCAATGCGAAGATGTTTAGGGTTAATGGACGGGTGGTAGTGGGGGAGGGGGAGAGGGTACTTTTGGGGGGAGAGGAAACCGGTGATGGGAAAGGGAAAGGTAAAGGTAAAGGGATGACGGCTGGTGGTGGTGAGGTGCTGCAACGGCAACGGCGGAGGACGGGTGGGTTGGGGCCGGGGGTGTATCCTGTTGCGGGTGAAGGGGATGGAGCTGTTGGATATGGGAATGGGAAGGGCAATGTGATTGATGCGTGGCCAAGCACAAGTGACACGGAAGGAAGGGGTTCTGCTGCTTCTGATCCTAATTGGGCTGAAAAGGGCCAGGCTGGTGGTGGTGATTATGGTGGCATGTGACTGGTTTCCGGTGAGACTCGGGCGTTTCATCATGACAACTGTTTATATCTGTTAAGCGTGGCGTTTTGCTGGAAGGCATTTGGAAGCTGAACGTTGTTCAACCTTGAATGAAAAGCAAGGCATCGTCGTATACGGTCCTCTACTAGGGAAGGATCACCAGTAGAACCGTGCATCCTGGTATGTGAGACAATCTGGTACAACAGTTGACGCCTTTTGATCTAAATATTTATATTCAGGGGTATCTGCGACATATACAGAATCTTCTAGATATCTATATACGGACATGGCGAACCCACCCTGACTATGCCGGTTCTCATTTACCCCTAATGAGTTGACCATAGCCAGACCGGGTTCAGAAAACGATCTCGATCAGTCATGCAGCGTCGGAATCGTCCTCAACGTGCTCATCAACTGATCCACCCCTAAACATCATCTCATTCCTTCTTCTCATACTCTTTCTCTGCCAAGGCCTGCTGGAACGCCGCGATAGCGTCCTCCAAAGCCTGCTGACTGAAACCAGTCGAGTTCACCAACTCATCAACCCTCGTCGGACTCCTTAGATCAGCCTCAAGCTGCGTCGTAACCGTATAAGCGCGTTCCGCCTGGTTAGGCTTGACAATCGTCGATGTCTTGGTCGCCTTGTTCCCGCCCTTGGCCTCAAAGGGCGAGACAAACACCAAATTTGTCACGGCAGCATTAAGGTTCGTCAACTCCACCGGGGCCTTGTTATCCACCACATCCCACTTCATGATCTGGCCCTTGGGGTGGCCCGTCAGGAGCGTCGTGCCGTCGTAGCTGAAAGCCAAGCAAGACGCTGGGCCAGCACCAGTAGGCTGTGTCGCGCCAAACGGCTGCGAGATCTGCATGACCGTTGCCGCGTCCTCGGACTGCGCGCCCAGCAGCGCCTTGCTGTCGCCCTTGAAGAACTCGGCCATGTACAGCGACGAGTCCTCGCACCCGACGATGATGGCGCGCCCGGCCGGGTCTAGAGACATGCACAAGGGAGAAGTGGGGAACAAGAGGGTGCGCAGTGCGTCACCGGTTTGGTAGTTCCAGATGATGCAGGACTTGTCTTTGCTGGCGGATACACAGAGGTTGGTGTCGTAAGAAACGGAGGCGTTGACGGAGAGGGCGGTGATGGCGGCGCGGTGGTTGGAGAGACTGCGCTCTGGCTCGTGTTCGGCAGATGAAGGGGTGAGCTCGAGTAGTGAGGAGAGGGACCACACGTGGATGTCTGAGTCGTCGGAGCCCGTCAGGACGTGGAAGGGCGTGGCTATCACGCAGGAGACTGCTTGGACGTGGCGCGCTGGGGTTGAGACTAAGCGGCCGGTGGATGTCTGGCAGGCAAGGGATATTATTAGTGTCTTGTATGGGGGAGAATTACTCTTTCGTTTCTCTTATAGCGTACCTCCCAAAGCATGAGCCGACCTTCTGCTGTGCCCAGAACGAGGACGTCACCAGCCAAAGTCAAGCACCGAATTCTTTCGGGGAAGGCCACAAAGGCCTCCTGGTTGCCGCGTATCCTTGAGTAAACGTGGACATAGGCTTTATTCTCTTGAGCAGCGTAGACGTGTGAGTCGCTGACGGCAACGCAGTTCACCGGCGCCGAGCTCTTCTTGAAGTTGTACTTGACTGAGTAGGTAGGGCTCAGAGTGTGGCCGTAGATGCCCACGTCCTTGGCGATGGACGTGTTGGAGCTCAAAGGAGCGCCGCAGATGGCCGAAACGAATTCTTCCGACAGCATGTTTTCTTCTTTTTCCTTTTTTTTCTTGCTGGGCTGATATATGTGGCTTGCCTATCTCTTCCTCTCTGCTCTCTTCTTCCGTAGGTCAGGACCTTGTCCCGATTTGACCCTTTCGGACCCTTTTTGGAAGCAGCTGCGGAATGCGACAGGCGTGGCAGACGCGTGACTTTTGCTGTAAGTGCAGAGATGTGTTGTGAATCCTGACGAAAACGCAGGTTGACGAAAGGTATGTTTCCTCTTCCGTCCTTCTCTGGTGGATGTCGTGTGCAGTGATTGGTACAACACAAAATTTGATGTTACCGTCCTCACGCCGGTGGATAAGATCTGGATTCTGAAACGGGGTGTTGACTGGTTGATCTGATGCAAGCGATCCCGAAGGACTTCAGGATCCTGCAGGTCTTGAAGATACGCTGTATTCCAGATGTGCTTCTTCCTCCAAAGAACCAATGGTGGTGTTTTCGAGATGTGATGAGATTCTCATGAAATTTTGATTTTTGTAATGACGGCGTACGGTATGCAATGGAGTTAAGACGCCAAGACCAAGATTGCCAAGCATTCGAGCTAGAACAGGCCAGGGCAGGGCGGGAGCTTGGACCCCGATGCAAGTCATTCAGTCTCCCGCAAAAAGTCACCCCTGCCATTGTCCATCATGCGCTGCTACTCTTGTTGTCACTGTGCATCAATATACTACTTTATCTACCGTTACCATCCTGCCGTCAACCTTTCAGCCGCAATAAATACCATATCCATCACGAGGTGCCATTGTTTCTCTCTTATCTGTTATCCCCTGCGCAAATCTCGTGGTTGTTCCTGAGCTCAGATGCGGTTTGTGAGCAATTGGAGGCCAACAAAGGGCAATCCAAGATACTTAGTACCACACCACCTTGCCTAGTTCCCCTCAATTCTCTAGTTTATTTTTATTTTTTCCCCCACTGCGTCTGTCGTCACTCCAGACCCTTTCCCCTCTTTCTCAACATTCCTTTTTCTCGGCGATCCCTTCTCCATTGGTTCGCCCTCGCAAACCGATGGGACAAGGGGAAGAACACCTCTGCAGGCATTTACTTTGTTAGCGTGGTTCACTTGCAAGTGGCGATAACTTTATTTTTCCTACAGAAGATTATTGGTATACCCGCGACCAACTAGCAAAATTCTGTAAGGTGGAGGTACCGCGCTAACAAAGTAAATGCCGGCAGAGGTGAAAATATCTGATTTATGTTGACTGACGCACACCTCATGGCTCGTGCGAATAGCCTCCGCCCACCAACTCCACTCACAGTCAAGTCTGGAGCAGACAAGAAAGACACTATCCGGACAGGAAAAAGCCATTAATATGCCATCATGTCACGGTGAACACGAAATATTATTCGGGAAGTGGCTGCTTCACCCTTGAATTTCCCTCGGCGACACCTATGCTAGGACGATATGGCTGGCTTGGTTGAACTGACGGGTATCCAAGACGCGGTACCTGTGTCTATCCGTCCGTGATTGATAACTTTTCATGTCTGCCGCCGACGGCCAAGTGGAAAGCTCACGCAAGAGTTCGTCGATGTGAGCTGGATACCAGTTCGTGCTACTATCTTGCCCCTGCATCGCGACCTTCACAGTACGCCTGATTACGCCTCCAATTGTTGGCCACTATCTCCTTTCTTTTTCTTGTCTAGCTCGCTGGCCTCAGTATTTCGCTGCGGACAAGATAAGCCACAACACAACGGAACATTTCCTGTTCTTGTTTTCAATGGCCGTAAGCCGGCCACAGCTCCTCCATCAAGGTTCCATATAACAGCGATCTCGTGTCCGCGCTCTCAGGGCACACGCAGTGTCTTCGTCATCTATATCACTGTCTCGGCTCTAGACACCTTCTCGATCCCTCGCGTGTTGGGAACCAAGGGCGCCATTCCATCCACTCACTGTCTTACTCGAATCTGCTACGCTATGTCGGCTTAACTGTTTTGACAGCGCCGGGTATCACCACATGAAACTCAACGTTATATAGTGTAAGTCCAACACGATGACCCATGTTGTTCGGTACCCAAACATTCTATGCGAATGACGCTCGTCAGTTGCGGTCTTCCCCCAAAGAAAAAGCGACTGCCCCGCAACGTCATGTCCGCTTGGTTTGCGATTGCTCACCCCGACCTTTCTTGACCACTCAGTTGCTTATCTTTCTAACTTTATCTGGTAGGCCACTGTCTAGCTTGTTTCGCTGTTAGAGGCGGGATTGGAAGGACTGTTCCAAATCATTACACGGCAGACTTGGTGTATCGGCATTTCTGCTAGAACCCGGTGTCACCGTCACACTAATCACCGTCTCCCATCCACTTCCACCCAGCGCCCATACCTTCCAACACCGTACGCGCTCTTGTACGAGGCAAGCTCCCTTCGCCGTGGCAGGGATATGCCCCGGCATCATATCAACAGGCGATCAGCGCAGGGATCCATGACCACTTCACTTAACCCCAACAACGATCTGACTTGACCACGAGTTGCTCGTCCTGCGTCCTTCCTGCGACCTGCATCCTGTATTGACAAGGTGGCGGACAGAGGTGGCAGCTAAGCTTCTGCTTCTTCCCTTCGGTTGACGTCCGGTCCATTTCAAGGTTCTTCTCGTCCGGTGTCGTCAAGACAATCCGCCACCAAACCCTTTTCGACTTCTTTCCCCGGCACAGCTATCATAATGGAGGTTGAGACGCAGTTCAAAGACTTTAACTTCCCCGAGCTCCTTGTCCAGAGCTTGGAGGAATCCGAGGTTTTCTTCAACACCAAGTCTATGACCGCCGGTTACCCATGCCAAGGTCTCGCAGCAGCGACCCACGTGGATGGGGACTATCCATATCGAACATCAGACCAAATGACAATCCAAGGGCAGGGACCAAACCTCCACCACCGCCGAACCTCCTCTCGCACCTCATCCCATTACAAATCTGTGGCCCCTCAGAGTGTCCGGCAATCGCTTCACGAGGGCACGGAGCGCAGATTGGCGGCAGGCATGCCCCGGTACCATGAGCAATTTGGGGCCGCAGACGACTCCTCTGACACCTCCAGTGATTCATCCGTAGAGATGATGCCACCTTCGATCAGAACCCGCCAGCAATCAGTGGTCACAACCACTACCTCGATCTCCGGTCGCAGCTCTTCGCCATTTTCGAGCAAGCCCCACTCCCCCTCTTCCACTTCATCGAAACCGACTCCCAACCGCCAAGGAACGTGGTTCGATGATGAGCCAGACCCGATGTCAGGATCAGAAGAGCCCGACATGGTCAACGACCGTTATGTGCCCCCTCGGCCGCAAACAGCCCGTGGATTTAACGACACGATTCTCGGCAAGGATGTGCCATCCTCTCCTAGTTCGCCGACGACACCTTTCCCGAATGCAGTCCCAGTGGCATTGCCGGTGCACTTGACTGAGAACGGGGATCGTCCGCGCACATCTTCCGGACAGTCTTGCATAGGAAAGCCTCGCATAATTGACATCCATCCGCCAGTTGTGCCCAAAAGAAAGTCATCCCTAAGACGACTCCATGTTCAGAGTCCCCCAGCGGTACCGGCATTCTGTCAACAGGAAGGGCTCGCCAGCGATGCGGACAGTTTACAGGATAGCATTGTCCAGACAAGGGGTATAACGCTACCCCCTTCTCCTACGTTGCCAGTACTTTCGACACCCGGAGGCAGGACGATCATCGATGCCTCCAAAAGGCCGTCACTTGAGCTGTATATAAACAAGAAGGTTCCGCACTCGCAGACGTTGCCTGAGGAGGTTGGAGTGAACAGGAAGGAAAGTGTGAGGGATGAACGGCCTTCGGGGGACAGCGTCCAGGATCTACGCTCAAGGTTAAATGTGAAGCCCTCGGCTGGGCACCTTCAAGACTGGATTCGATCGCATACGGAGCCAGCGGTCGGCCGTGTTCGGGCTCCTAGTTTCGTTCCAAACAGTCCCCTGGCTGGTGTTCCCTTGCCTGCGGATGTGCTGAACACTCTACGCATCTCAACCTCGTGTTTTCCAGAAACCACATTGCTCACCTCCAGCCTGTCCATCGAGACGATACGGACGTACTCTAGAAAGCTCAGATACCAGATTAGAAAGCCCGGCAACAGTGTCGACGATGACGACAACGAGTCGGTCTTCACCTTCTCTAGCCCCAACGTCAAGTCACGCAAGCGCTGGAACCTTCCCAACCTAATGCAAAGCCGGCGCAACAACAAAAGATTCGCAAGCTACGCCCATGACTTGACCGGAAATACCTATCCGGAGCCGAGAGCAACCAAACCCTCTGGTGTCCCCGATTGGGCGCCCATCAAAAATATCTTCCCCACCGGTACCGACCACCTCTGCGACGCCCTCTACGCGCATCTAATCGCCTACAACTACATCGGCACCCTCTGTCCTCCCCTACCCAACATATCTTCACATGCTCCCAAAGAGGCCAACAGCGTCCAACGCAACCCTTCCAGCCCGACGCGCCGCTCAGACAACAACGTGCGCCGTATTCCCAGAAAAGCAGAGAGCATCCTCGGCATGAATGACGAAGCAGCAGTAAATTTCTCCTCCGGCGCGCTCTACTCTTCCAGAGACGGCGGTTTCAGCCGTCCCTTCATCGGGGACAGCGAAAAACGAGGTGTGCCAAAGGTATTGATCAGCAGCGGCAGTGGCAATGGCGCTGGTTGCGACTTGACTGCCCTAAGGGATATCCATGCCGGGTTGGCAAGGTGCATCGCTCGTTTAGTTACGACGCTGAAGCTTACTACTGGGGAGGGTATGGTGGAGGGCGAAGCGCTGTCGCCAAAGGAGACGGTGACGCTGGATCCGTTCCTGTTGAGAACGCTTTGCGAGCTGGTGAGGTGCGCTGAGGAGACGGCTTGTTGAATGATTCGATTTGCATGGATAATGAGTGTGATGAAGCGACTCGTTGGGATGATCGTTGTGATGACTTCAGTGGCCATACCGGTCCTTTTTTTTCTTGCCTTATTTTATTTCCTCTCATTCACTCTCGCAAGCGTGGTTCTTGCGAGCATGGTTTATGATGGCAAGGTGTGTCGAAAAGAATACCCAATGGCTTGGCGGACATAGCGACGGGATGGGCATGAGCTTTCGGACCTGAGTTACTTTGGTGGCACGTCCGGACGGAGAAGTGTAACGGCAGTGTATTGTAGTGTAGTTGGGAGTACGATTGGGCTAGCCAAGTGGATGGCTCTTGTACATTTAAGCTCACCGTCGTGTGAAGCCGATGGTGATATGCCTTTTATTCGATAATGTCTATTGATGCCCCTTTGGAATTCAACGAGCAGCATTCGTTGATGTCGATGAACGGGCATGTTTAATAATGACACCATCACCGCCCTGTAGGGCTGTGCTAACTCTACTGATGATCAGGGCAGTGCCATATGCCAAGGCGGGAGCTAAGTTGTTGACGTGGAGAGACTGAACAAAAATAATACACCTCTGCAGGCATTTACTTTGTTAGCGTGGTTCTCTTGCAAGTGGCGATAACTTTATTTTTCCTACAGAAGATTATTGGTATACCCGCGACCAACTAGCGAAATTCTGTAAGATGGAGGTACCGCGCTAACAAAGTAAATGCCGGCAGAGGTGTAGGGACCCCCTAGAGTTCGGAGGGTGTGACAGAGGGTCGCCACTACATGATGATCACTGAATCTCAATGGTCAATCCTCCTCACCGTCTCCATCAACTTTCGTGTCTCCCCCACAAGTCACATTTCTCCACATTCAACCTCCGTGACCCTTCGGAAACCAAGAACCATCGACATCCAGGTTCCTCCTTGGCTCCTCTTTGATCTCCTCCAAAATCCTCCACATCCATTCAGCGGCAGACTCGCCCCCTGTGTTCCTCGGACTCGGCACATTGCGACATGACACGCAGCACACAACGGAGTACACTACTTGCGAGATTCCCAATTGGTCACCTACCATTGCCAACGATACCACGAAACAGTTCACACACCAAAGCTCACTTTAAATGCCGAGAGGCTTCGGAGGTTAGCATATCCTTCCATCAACCATAATATCTCTTAAGCCATTTCAGTTGGCTCACCCGACCCGATCGTCAACAAACTAAACCCGACCGATCGAGGCATTTACCACAACTTGTTTGTTTCAAACAGAAACTGTCAACTACTTTTCTCACCTCCCCCGGAAGGAAACATGGAACAACAACAACCACAAAAAGAAGTGGCTCCTCTTCGACCCCGTGTTGCCAATGCTTGTGAGGCTTGCAGGTTTGCTAAAGTTAAGTGTCAGGAGAGCAGTCAAGTGGGGATATGTAAAAGGTTGGTTGGTGTATGAATTTATGATTGCTCGCAATGCGGCCTTCGCCTTCTTTTTTTTTTTTTTTTTTTTCTTTTTTTCCCTCCTCCTTCTTCTTCGGATTGGTTCTCAGACAGCGATTTTTATATAGCCGCTAACGTTTGGAATCCATCGGGTATGGTTCAGGTGCTTGGCTTCCAAACGAGAGTGTATCTTCAAGACTGGTCCCAGAAAAAGACGGCCTAGAGGGTCGAGGATGTAGGTCCTCTATTCCTTCTTTTTCCCTTAACTCACCCTTCCACACACATATAGTTAACTTCCCAAATACTCGTCCAACCTAAGTATCTACCCTTTCCTGAAATTCCTTAGACATCTCCCCAAAAAGCTCTTCCCACACTTACACCCCCTTCTTCCCCTCATAGAAACGCCGACCAAAACTCCACAACAACAACCAGCAAGACCAACTCCAACTCCAAAACATCAACAACAGCTAAGACCACATCCAAAACTTCAAACCCCTCCTCCCTCCAAAAACAATCTTCCCTCTCCAGCCCACCCCCCGGTCCTTCCCGTACCTTCACCATCGACGTCCCCATCCCCACCGCCTCCGTCGACATAGCCATCAGCTTGGAGTCTCTCCGTCTCAACCACGAAGGGTTTATGGATCACATTTGCCCCGACCTCAACACCGGGATCGACTCCGAGGGGGACGACGGTACCCACGACTGCGACTACGATTATGGATCTGACGGCGAGCCAGTAGGGTCGGTAGTCTCTAGCCATGCGAGCCATGCTAGCTCCTTGCCCGTGGGAGCATCGGCTGCTACACCGGAGAGTAGTTCTACGTCTGCTTCTGGGGGTGGGTTCAGGAGTGGAAAGGGGAACACCAGAATGGCAGGGCAGGGAGCAGGACTGGGACTGGGCGGAAGCAGCAGATCCCTCGCCTCCCTCTCAGTCCAACCACAATTCAACGTCGACTCCGCTTCACGACTATTGGACACCTTTAGGAACGTCATGTTGTGGCATTTTCCTTGTGTGTTGATTGATCATGTCGTCTACAATAACAACGAGAAGGAGGAGGTGAAGGCGGAACTGGAAGAAGCGACGGTGGCGTCCCTAGCAAGGGAGAGGCCGTTCGTGCTGCTGGCTATGTTGGCGGCGGCGAGCAGTACGCGGACATTGCAGGGTCATAGTTTGTACGATGAGGAGTTTAGGAAGATTTTGGGGCTCAAGTTCGTGGCGGGGGGAGAGAGGAGTCTCGAATTATTGCAGGGGTTGGCGGTTTATGTTGCTTGGTGTAG